CTGCACCTTTCATAGAATTTATGATTCTTTTAATTTTACCTTCCTTGTAAACGATAAAATACCTATTTTGTAATTTCTGATTTTAAATTTTACTAAATCACCATTTTTCAAAGTATAATACACAACACAATAATTTTGAAAAGTTTTTTGAAATTATAAACTAACCCGTAAGGTGTGTTAGTTCTTTGATCCCGGTTGTAAAGAAAATATTCATCTAATGGGTACTGAAAACCGTCTTTAAAAATATCTGAGAGTAAAAGTCTGGCATCGTGCCGCACTCTCGATATTTTTCATTAAAAGAAACATGAAAAAGAAAGGGAAAGGAAAACGAAAAATACTCAACCGAGTGGAAGTAAAATGGTATAAAAATGGAAGCTTTTTCAAAAAGTTGGAACATCACAATATTGCAAAAATAATTTCAAGTATTCAAAATTATTAAAAAGTGACCTCATAGAAAAGAAATTAAATATCTAACACGAACTCCAAAATTAAATGCTAATTATAACAAGTTTTTTTCCAGTTGCAGAGATATTCAATCTTATTAATAATAATTTTTCATTCGATACATATTTTCTTTTCGAGTAAGCAAGATCGGATTATACCGTTTTCAGTCTCTCTGATAGTCCATAAAAAAAGAAAAAGAAAAGTGGGAAGAGGTGGCAGTCAATGGCTCCCTCGGTGAAAAGGATGAGTGCTTTCAGCTTCCTTTAGCAAAAATCAATTTCGCTGACGCTACTCATAATCCGATTAATTAGAAGCTAGTCAAAGAAGAACAGAATGTAAGCTTCTGAAACGTGAAATACAAAATATCATACGGTGTATTATGGAATAAAAAAGATCAAGTATCGTGATCGAGATGCGTTTTAATGGATCTGAAAATCCATTCAGCGTTGAAACTTTTTAACACGATGTAAAGTTTGAAATTGAGTGCTCATGGAGTAGTTTAATTTCGTGTAGATTTCACGCAAAATCGATACCGTGTTTATCACGTTCACATTGAAAAACATGGAACCTGTATTCCATGAGAAACTGCATCTTCCGGAGCATTATATTATAATTTATATTACATCTTGTTTGCGTTGAAGCTTCAAAAGATTGCATTAATTCAGATGTTTCTATTTTATGACGTTTCTCATTACGAAACAAGATTTTATTTTTCAAAGGTTCAAAGCGAAAAGCTTCGACTTTGTTTGAATTATTCCTTTCCTTCGGGTATGGACTTACGCTATTTATTACGAGCACAGTTTCGTTAATGACCGACTACAGAAATTTGCTAAATAATAGAGGTAGAGTCAGTCGTGACCTAAACTTACGAAAGATATACGAGTTAAATTAAAAAACTGAAAATCATATGAAATACGAAATTAAATTAAAATTGAGGCCCTCTCCGTGGTCCGTGCTTCGATGGTTAACGAATTATTAAATTATTAATAGTATTACGCTTTCCTAACTATTGTTTTAATAAAAATAAACAAGTAAGTCTTAAATTTAAAAAATAGAAGGCGCACAGAATATTTAATCTGAACGTTGAAACTGAAATATTAGATTTGTAGATTTCTTATTGATAAGAAAGAAAGCTTCCTCGTAAGGTTTCCTCGTAAAATGGTCCCCAGTTGGAACGTTTTTCCAATAAACGATGGCCTTGTTTCGGTGGCTGTAATGAATAATGGGAAAACCGATTGCAATTAGAGTCGAATGACGTGATTGCAATGATACCGGTTGCACGATTACTTGTTCTTCAACCGCATGGTTCGCGAGTGAGCAGCTCTGCTTGCGCTTGCCGCAGTTCCGCCTCATCGTTGCTTCATTATCCGTACTTAACGAAGCTTTTCTGCAAAGCACCACCGATCGATTCCAACTAGTTTCTTGAAAAGAAAAATGGACCCTCGTCGCGGCGAGGAAATGTTTCCCGTTACAAGGATACACGTCAAATAAACGAAACTATTTATCAATCGCTCCGTACGAGGCGGTAAATTTATATTAATTAAATGGAATGTTTGTAGTATAATAAATGGAAAATATATCTGAAAATGTATTTCTCTGATAAAAATATTATAGCACAAATCAATTCCTTCTTAACTCTCGGACGACAGACCATAGAAAGAGCCCAAATTTTAATTTAATTTCTTATTTCATATTATTTTCATCTTCTAAATTTCATACCGTTTAAAATTAAATTTGAAATTACCATGACTATTTAAAAATAAATCTCCAATTAAGAAAAAGAAGAGGCATCTTCATTATTCTCAGTATATGCTAAAATTTTTAGTAAAATTTTTTTTTTCAACGAAAGTATACATTGCAACTAGAATTTTATAAGAAATGAAGTAGTTAGGATGTTAATAGAAACATGTTTGCTGCTTTGTAAACAAAAATCTAGTATTCCAAGAGAAAGTTGATTTCTCTTTGCGAAGCATACCAATTCTCAACTCGTGACTGATCCTAACTTAAAAGAAGCTTGGGAAATGCTACTTTAAAGTACGCGAAAAGAGCAAAGAAGGTGCATTTGCATCTCAAACGGCTCAGATTAAGAAGTTGAATCATTCTCATGATGCACTACAGTACAGGAGCTTCTTATAGCCTGGCCAAACGTTTTCCGCGAAGTAGGTTGCGCGAATCTTACGAAGAATTCTCAGTTTTGAAAAGAACTTTTCATGAAAGTTTCGCAAAATTTTCTGAAACTTTACGACTATTTGTATGCACATACACCACGGAATCATTTTACGTAACTGTTCAATCTCTGGAACACCAAATAAGTTAAATAAATTTAAAAGAATTTAAGCACCCACTTTTATTAAAACTTTTTATTCCTTTTAACGAGAAATTTAGTTGTAAATTTTTCCAACACCGTCTATATGAAAGCATGTAAGTACTCTCTTGTTTGGTATATACCATTGTTGGGGAAAAAGGTAGCACGTCTTTCTTTTCGGAAAGACACGTAGAGAAAATAAAGCATGAAAATGTGGGACGAGAAACACGTCTATCTTGGAAAATCCTTCAATATTGTACACGTGAAAATTTGAAGTTATTTTATATACTTTCTTACTTCAATTTCAACTGTACATCCAATGTAATACACGAAATACTGCAATAACTTTACTAACAACCCAAATAATTAAAAATGATGAAAGAATCACTGAACTAAAAATTCAAATTAAAAATAAAAAAACTATAATGTGAAGAACAGTAGCAACATTATTCTCCTGTTTGAATTACACTGACCGAATTCCAACAGACTGCTATCGAATGTGACTAATCGAATCATACGGTGCGAGGAGTAATACTAAACGCCGAAGTGATAGGGACAGAAGCTCTCGATGTCTTCTTACGCGAACTTTGCAATCAAGTTTAGCGACCGAGTATCCAGCAACGGCTCTCGTAACTCGGAAAAGTCACTCGACTATCAAGCATCCACTTGAAAAGTAGAAACTAGAAGTCACGTGTTGCCACGTGAAACCAGTCTAGGGAACTTCGATCGCTCTCTCTCTCTATCCAACGATATTCCGATAAAACCGCAACACGCATTCGCACCCTGTGAGCAGACACCCGTGTTACTGCACACACCCTCGAGCCGCACCTGGGAACATTACTTTGGAAGTTTTCCCCGCACCAAATAATTCTGAAACGAAATTACAGGGAGCCATGTATTTCCATCCGAATGGTTGAATTTTGTCCTCGATGAGTTACATCGAGCAAAGTTGCGATATGCTTTCAACAACACCAATTAAACATAGTACGCGATGATCGAATAGGGTATGATACAGATGTGTAATGATTTCTATCGAATTTTATAAGTTGAAAAATATAGAATAAAAAGAAAATAGATTTTTACGACCCTCTTGAGATTTCTGGGGCTATAAAATCTTCGAGGGCCCTTTGGTTGATAAACTTGATTCAAAAATTAAATTTAGTTCTGTCTGGATGCAACAAAACACGTAGGCATTTTTTTTTTAAGCAAAATGCCAGTTTCAAAAATTCAACCTTCTAAAGACCTAAATCGAAATATAGCATGGCTCTCGGATGTTGAAGTTCAATGTACGTCAATTCCACGGTCTTTTCTTTTGTTTCAATCGACTTCCACCGCGAACGAATCGAAAGATCCGACCATGGTACTAGTCTGAGCTTCGATAATCCTCGACGGGATAAGAGTCTGGGTTAAAAGTGGGCGGCAGGGGGAAAAGAAGGTAACGCCTGATGAAAAGTCGCGATCCAAAGGGCATTCGAGAAAGCTCCAACCGTGGCGAGTTCAAGGATTAAGCTAATAGGAACCCCCATGAAATTCATACCAGCCACAGCCTTTAGAAAATTCCATTTCTATACGCCGATACGTCGATTCAATTATGATTAAGAGATTAACGACGTACGCGTGAGATTAGAACGACAGAGGTATCTTCCCTTGTATCCGTCCTTCAAATCCTCGTCGTCTCTTTTCTTGGCTGTAAGCTATGTAGAATATGCCCCGTCGAGGATCCTCCAGCATTGCCGAGTCGACTAACTCAAGAGGGCATGATAATCCAACGAGCCTTTGACACTTGACGCTCTTGCGGCCCTCTGTTACAGGGCTCTTGCACGCTTCATGGACCGCCCTCGGATTCCAGTATCATAATGATCTGTGCTTTTGTTTTCAGCTCTACTGTGTATTCGATACACTTTCGAGGATCCAGATAGATATCGATGAAATTTTAATTCCGTTTTAATTGCATCACAATCCGGGTGCATACATTTCAGATTGCATCGGGTGCATCGTAAGCTCTATATAGGTAACTGCATACCCATCGAAGCTTTAATATTTAAAACTTTTATTCGAGAATGCGAATTAATTTCCAATGAATTTCACGTGGATCGACAAAATTGCAAGGTGTCGGATTTAAATTTTCCAACGTACCAGGTCGGAGTATTCACGAATTCCAGCTAATGCATCTTAAATTCCGGAAATGTTTCGACCAACAGCAGCACACGTAGCTCATAAATCTTAGCTAGACTGACGCTTTCTGTTGCAGAGTTTGAGAAAGGACGACTGCCGCTACCTTGACGAACTTCGAGGTACGAACTTCTAGAAAGCCAAAAGGCCATGCGACTCTCAGGAGCTTTCGAGGAGTTCCTTAAACCTAACCCAAGAATACGTCAACCAATGTGGACAACTTCTAGTACGATATTTCAAACGCAAACTTCTCTGAGTGTACTAATAAATTTTATTTGTACAACGATCAACTGAAACGATAGAAATATTTGTGAAGAATCTGTCGAAAAAGATCGACTTTTTGCTTTCTGAAATCTTTTATCAACAATTCGGCGCTGCTAAGCCTGAAAGCCTATCCCTTACCAATAGCTCTGCTTATAGGGATCCTCTTGGAGGCTTTCACGGATCAATTTTTCGGCGTATCTTTTCAAACAACGAAGACGACAAAAGAAGATAGAGAGAGAAGTTTGCAACCATACAGCGAAGAAAGAAGACTTTGCTGGAAATAAGCTGTTCCCGTTACCTCCACTGCATTATCGATGAAAAGTGTTAACGGAACGGGAATCCAGTACCGACCACTTTTCCAATATCGACCTCGATTCCAACTTCCATCCATAACTTTGGAAATAACGATGTAAGAAGAAATCTTGAAATAAAGAGAGCAATAATTTCTACTTTCGTCGAAACCGGATGAACTTTCCAAACTGCCAACTTTTCGATCTTCGACTTTATAAAAAATAGAGAAATTTTCATGGAAGCTGGATGAATTTTTCAGGTTGTGAAGTTTCTCAAAGCGGACTTGTCAGTGGGTAAAAAATAGAAGAAAATTCTTCAGTTTCAAATAAAATAGAAAAGGAGAAATACAAGGGAGGGTAGTCATTATTAGTGGTGGGATGCCCCCATGACAAAAGGGCGGCACGTGGTGATGTCTTGTTGTTGTTGGTGCTGCGACAGCCTCGGCGGTGCCGGTTCTTCAAGTGCTGATGCTGGGGATGTTGTTACCGGTGCATCTGGTGGCAGTGTAGTTGTCGGTAGTAACAGCAATAACGCCGGTGGTGGTGGTCTCGGTATTGCTTCCGGTCTTTCTGCAATGCTATCGCTGGTCGTTGTCACGGTGGCCATCAGTACGGGAGAGTGGCTTCTAACGGAAGAGAAACTGCCGAAAACTTCATCGAACGCTTCTGCGGAGCCTGACAGCAAAGTTACCTACAGCGGTCTCTGGAGGGTCTGCGTTGCCATAAGTGAGTACTTCCGGTTCACTTTATACGCTTAATTTCACCCCTTATTTTACCATTGAAGTGAAAACTATTGTCGTTTTTTCAGTTAATATATTTTTTTTATTTTGAAGGCATAATAAGGATTTGAGCAGAATGGTGATTAATTAACTCGTCATTCTTGATTAAACATTTTCTGGCATCACTATTGTTGGAAATCATCGCATATTTATAAGAAGGAACACGAATAAATCTGATGTTTGGTGTAAAATGTCACCGGTATTAAAATATTATCAAAATCCGTAATGTTCAAAAGCTTAGACTCGCCTTAATGTTTCGTCGTTTCCGTAAACAGAATATAACATTTCTTATAATTGCTGGAATCAGCTTAAACCGTAATCAGCTTACAAAGTTCAGGAGAAAAATAACGATAAAAAGAGTCACGGAGATTAACTTGGAAACAAAAACAACTTTATTATCGAGTAATTTCTTCGGACGAGGAGGAAGGAAAATGAATTTTTAATTTCATTGACACTGCGGGAATTTATTTATATTTATTCCAAGAGGAATTTATTTACTAATTTTTGAAGAAAAAAATATGTTAATAAAAACCATACAGGAAAAAAAAGAATTTTTGTCCATAAAATTAAATGGTAATTAAGTAATTGATTAATGAATTATTAATGAGTAGCAATTAAACCGACTAAAAATAAATGCTCAAATAAGTATTATGATGCACATATAAAATGCCTTTTATTATCAATTTTTCCATAGAATAAAATAACAAACACTTTTTTATCTCTAAAGCCATTTTAAATCAACTTCATTGCTACGAAAGGGTATTACCAATCTTTTTTATAAAATTCGCGATCTAGTAACAGCCGATACGTTTATGTTTCATGCATCGTGTCCGAACAACGATACATGTAGTAGAAACGGAAACGACAACGAAAACGATAAACGGGAATTGTAAAACTCTCAAAGAAACGATGCATCGTCGGAAAGGCTGAAAATTGTTTGGGACTTTCTTTAGAAGTGCACCTAAGCACTTCCATGAAGAAAATCGTATTTAAAGGAATTTAATTTCGCTTCTTTCGAGCTTTTTGCCAAGCCAAGAACCGTGTCAAGAAGTAAAAGCCACGATCACATGTACAAGCAACGTTGCTTATTGACCAGAACGAGCAGTCGTTTCAGAAACAGGAAGTACCTACTGCTTTTTGGCTAACGACTCGCTTGCTCTATGAATTTTGTACTACTTCAATATTTTATGAGAAGGAATCAAAGCTTTTTTGAAAATATAATTATTTTCAGAAAAATTTAATGATTTTTAATATTTCTTAGCTTGATGAAAATAATTTTTTCATTTATCAAATTCAAAACTGACAAATTCCTACCATTGTTTTTTAAAAATAAAGTAAGACACAAGATTTATGATCGAAAAAAGCATAAAATATTCTTAAAATATCTACTTTTTCATTATGAAAATTAATTTTTAGTTTCTGTATCTCCAAAACATATTCCAAAATTCTTCGACTTCCCTATAAATATTCTTAATATCCTGTGTGTCCTTTATAATATTAGTGACTATTCATCTTGCACACATTATCCTAATGGAATTAAATGATTAAGTTTAATTCCATTAGAATATTTACTTCCACTTTATCAGGCAGCTTTCTACAGTCTACCACCAGCAAAATCATACTATTAAAAAGTAGATCCTTCATTTCGACGACTGAAGATATCGTCGCCCATTTCCCAGCTCTGACTACTTTGCATAGCCGCTTTGCGTAGTTTTCTTGAATATTTAACCGACAAGACTTACGACATCCCAGGAGTAACGTTCTAGCCAGACTTTAATACGTGGGACCCTTATGGCTGAATAATGGTGTCTGTTTCTGCTGGAATTTGCACGTCGCGACTCTTTTTTTTAATTTCCCACGCGAAATCATAAAGTATGTTCATATTCTGATTATTTTAACCTGTTTTTGATTCCTAAATTTCGTTTCATGAATAATTTTTTGAGACTATTATTTTCTATTTAAGAGGCCAGAAGAACATCTATAAGAATTAATTTTTTTTTGAAAATCTTATGAATGTTTTTTAATAAATGTTTTTCTGTTTAAAAAGGAAACCGTTAAAAAAATTTTGCAATTTCTCTAAAAATAAAAAGTTGAAAAATTATCTAAAATTATACTCTATACATTTATTCATTTCATATTGTGAATTTTTCTCTTTGGCTATAATAAAACATCCTTTTTCTACCTGTTTTTCTAGGAACATTAATTCCGCGGTCACACCACCACGTATTACTTATTCCTCGTGCATGAAAATTATAAATCTTTTTATTTTCTGTTAACTTCCATAGTTTGCGACACCGCTGGCGAAATGCATGCTGGACCAGGCTTAACTGCATCGCTGGACACGTAGCTCTACGTGCTTCAAGCTTTGCATATTAATGTCTAAACGTAGTCGTGATACTAGGAAGATATTCCTGCGCTATAATTTGCAGTCCTTTTTCGACATAGTAAATGTTTCGTTACGGTCAACAATCGAATACATTCTATTTATATAACATTTACAATGTAAATATTTGTATTCGTAATATTCAAGAAACAGAACAAAAATTTAGAAAGCTTGTAGAAAATACGCACCTCTAATTGTAAGTTGAATATTAAATACTTTTCCTAATGAATTTTTATCAATGTTTTTTTCTTCAACTATAGAAATAGAAAGATAATGGAAAAATATTCCAATGATTTGAAGAAAAGAATACAATTCTTATTGTTAGTGGAACTATTCAAGTATACCTTTGATAACTAATTGCAAGCTTTTGAAAATTTTTCTGTCGCAGAAGCTTCTCTTCCCCAGAGAATACAACAGAATGGCATTTAATTCATAATACTCAGAAAGCGTTTTGCCATTTCACTTTGCTATCTCACAATGGAACGAAACAGAATTAGATATATAACTGTACATGTAATGTAATATAATGAAACGTTATTTCCTGCGCTACGTGATAAGGATTTCACTGTGTCACGATGAAATATTCTATGCTGTATAATATCTTCACTTTGCTATTTTATAATTTAGTACCTATTTCCTTTTCCTCGTTTTTGTTATATTAATTGTAACCTTATTAACCTACATATGAATTTTATCCATTGTTTGTTTCAATGAAGAATCCGTCATTTTATATTAAGAATATTGACGAAATCTTTATGTAACTATTTTAGTCGAACTCTAAGCTTTAAATTAATATACCACAAGTACCATTTTACCATACTTTTATATCATGAATTCATAATGATATGAACCAGACCTAACTCAAAATGTATAGATTCTAAAATTAGTCATTGTTCGTTGCAATCTACTACCAGCCATTTTGTATGAAGAATATTGATAAAAGATTTACATAGTTGTTTTCCTTAAACTTTGAACTTTAAATTGATATACTATAAGCGATACTTTATGATTCTTTTATGTCATCAAACTGTGATGACATAAACCAGATCTAACTTAAACTTTATATGGTACAAAATCGATCACTGTTCCTTATAACTCGCAACCACACCTTTCATGTTAAAAATATCGACGAAACTTTTATGCAATTATTTTCATAGAATCTTAAACTTGAAATTGGTATACTATAAATACTATTTTGCAATACTTTTCTCTCATTAAATTCTATCAGACTTCCTATGTTTCAAATATTAAACATCGCGATCAACAAATAACTTCTAGACAATTACCTGTATCAATAAAACACAATATTCCTCGTGAAACAATTACGAACCATCCCCAATGCCCATTGCAAACGTTTCTTATTCTATCTTTTTTTTTTATCCACTTACTACCAGCTGAGATTTACCCTCCGTAGAGACGAGGGTAGAAAGCATTTAACCGGTAATATTCGCGAAGCGTTCTGTGATTCCGGTCCAGATCTCTCGATGGGAATAACGCAATGGGGTGGGAGTCGGTCTAAAGGAGACGAGTACAGTGGGTCGGAAATGACTCGTTACCGAGGGCACCGGAAACCGGACTGCTTCAGCCACCATCGTTCGGTCTCTAGTAGCTCCACGCCTACCAGCAACGATGCCCCCGGCTATACCAACTGATAAAGAAATAAACGAAAAAGAAATAGAAGTACCGATGGGAGAGCTTCCTCCTCATCTAACCATCGGATAACTTCTTATCGCGGACGAAAGGACACGAATTTTTCTTTGCTCAGAAGAAAAAGAACAAGGGAGGAAAATTGCGTGAAAGATAATGACGGTTCGGTTAAAGAGATCATTGTTTCTTAGAAATCCTCTTAAATTGTTGAATACTTAACACTTGTCTTTATTAGTGTATTTGATAAAAGGAGACTAATACATTACTGTTGATGTTATATGTTTTTATAAATTATTTTTTTTTACTATGGATAAGATCCTTAACCCTTGGTTCAATTGTAATCCCAAAATTAAATTTAAATGTATAATTTTTAAACAAAAGAGTTTCATAAATTAGAAGAATATGTTTAAAGAAACGGTGCAAAATTTAGAAAACAAAAACAATAGTAAACACTTTTTGTTTGTATCAAAAATTCAATAGATAATTTTTATCAACTTTTCCTATCAGAAATAAATAATGTATTATAGTATATTAAAAGTAATTAAAATTGAGATTCTCTTCAAATTAATTAAAATTGTGGTTCTAATTGCTATATAAAATAACAGTGACTAAATAACGAACCTTTCAACAGAAAGAATATTGCAAAGAGTCACTTACCTTGTAGATGAAACATCGGAAGACACCGTCCCATTAAAACTGATAACCCGTGAACGTGACTCCAGATTCGAAGCAGTTGAATCGGATACCGTTGTTATCGAGTAAAAGGGCCATGGATTGTCGCGAAGCCGTGACGTTAAAACTCCAGCTCTGTGACAAATGTTTCCAGACGTTTAATAGAGTAATCGTGCCTGGCTTAGAGTCTTGGTAATATGTACCAAGGTAGCCCGACCCGTTTGTACCAATTAGCCAAGTTGATGTTAAATAATATCACACCGGGGTATAGGGCTCACACAACGTACCTGTTTCTCCCATCGCAGTTATAAATTAGGTGATCCAATTTCGTTGTAAACTTTATCTCGAGCCGAGGCTGTCTCGTGTGGCTGGTTTCTTTCCTTTGAACTGACCCATCAGAAAATCAAGACGAAGGGGAAAAAGAAGCTTATCCTTCTCCTTCTTCGTTCCAGCTCGTGTGAGATCTAAGAAATGGAAACTCTTTTAATTAAAATGCTTACGATATGCTTTCCAATTGCACTCGCAGATTGAAAAAGTTTTCTTTCTAAAGGGAACTTGCGCCCCATTCGTATTTGATTATCAGAGATTTGATTACTCTTCTCGTTTTGCATGTGGAAAAGTGACGTAAAATAATATAATCGAATTCCCATGGTGAAAGAATTTAATATATTGGGGATAGGAGGGGTCACGAATTTAACACCTCACCCGCTGGAATTATTAATATTTTTAATATTATTTTATTTGCTCAACTTCGGTTCTTCTCAGCGAACGTGTTAATAGAGTTTTAAACACCATCGATTATTATTGACTAAAATCAATTAGCACGTTTACGAGCTCAGGGGCCCTAGATATTTGCCGGGTAAAGAAAATAAATAAAAATAATATCTACGGTGTTCGCAGTCTTTTAATATTAATAAGCATTTCACCGTTATTGAGTCACGCATGGTTTAATTGAAATAATGAAAGTTGGACGTGCTACAATTAACCCTTTAATTCCAGTTATGGAATGTGTTCGTTATGGAAGAGACGTGTCCTTAACAACCCGTCGCTGACATGTTATGCTAATGAGTAAGAATTATAATCACACAGAATATACGATTGCATGTAAAATTACGGAAGATAAAAAAGCGTGAAATGGCTCGTAAACGAGAGGTATGTAAGCCGGCATCAACAAACGCTTTCCATAAATAATCGTTTATTATTTGTTCGCATTTTTAACGAGCACGGGAAGAAATTAGAACATATAAAGCTCGAGGGAAATCCGTAAATTGAAAAAAACAATTCTCCCGGGAACAGCTTTAATTCTTCATTCGGCGAAACTTCTTATTAGCCAAGGGGAAAATATTTTCATAAACATCGAAAATTGGACGGCGTACAATGCACGAAAGTTTTTGCAGTTTTAAAAACTCGACGGAACAAACAATTCTCCTTTGGGAGAAGTATAAACGAGTTGTAACTAGAAAGAAGGAGGAAATTATCGAAATGAGAAGTTGCCAAAAAGAATCCTCTACGTCCGGTTCCTCGGTCACGGTTGAACAGTGGTCAGAACAGTGTACAGTGTACACGAATGGCGAATTATTATTTCTGTTATATGCTTCTGTCAGTGGGCACGTCGGCAACGAACCTGGAATATCGATTCTCAGCCGTCGAAGGGAGGCAATACGGCCGACTTCCGGCACGAACCGGAAATGACTGTTCCACGCCTGCCAGCCCAATTCCCCGTTCCCCCTTCGACAATCCCATAGTCCCTTCGGCTCTTCGCGTAACTATAAAAGTCCTCGCTTTATGCTCCCTTGTGGATAATTTTTAGAAACGCTTTGATAGTTAGATACGACACCTCCGAGTGTATTCGGAATTCTGAGCAGAAACAGGATTTCGATCTTGCTTGGCGCATGCAGTAGAATTTGATATTTTTTAATCAGTTCAGAATTTTTAGTAGTTTGAATATTAATCTCAGGAGATTATATATAAAACAATATATTTGCCAAGTTAATTAGCTTATTAAATAACGGACAAGTTACGTCGGTTGGTCTACCGTTTGTTTCGATCAAGAATCAGCCATTTTGGATTAAAAATATTGACAAAACGTTTACATAGTAATTTTCCTCAAACTTTAAGCTTTAAATTGATGTATCATAAGTACTACTTTCAGATAGTTTTGTCATGAAATCGTATTAATAAGTACCAAGTAGCCTGCAGTAAGTAGTACAAACATATAATTAGTCAGACATGCTAAGAAACAAATTTCAACACAATTTCATGACACAAAAGTATTTCAAAATAACACTTATGCTATATCAATTCAAAGCTTAAAGATTAATAAAAAAGACTGCATAAATAATTAATCGATATTTTTAATACAAAATGGCGGATTGCAAATTATAACAAACATAATAAATTTCGAAGTACGATACATATGTAAAGTTCGAGTTATGATTTGATAACATAAAGTTTCAGGAAAATGGCTATATAAAGATTTATTATTATGTCACTCTTCTATGATCTTATTTGCCCCACAATTTTGCATGTACCGGCTGATAATATTAATTTCTGTACAAGATGCATCTGGTGCATCGTCGGTTGCACCGAACAGATAGTGTAGAACACGTACACTGCATCGCTGGTCTCGAATGTGTTAACGATAATTATCGAAGGTAAATACGGTGAAAACAGGAGCGTGCTTTATCACCTGTTCTAACTTGATGTTGCTTTCACGGAGGGAAATATTTTACAGCTTACGGTGATGAAATATTTAATAAACATTTCGTTTTATTCCAAAGAAATTATTGAAACAAATCGTCCTACAACATCTACAATGGATGTAAAAATTATTGGCACACTCTGCTTTCTTGCGATTACTCGAAACGTGCCAATACTTTTTTGAGATTCATTGTACAATATTTTATTCGAAAATCGTTTGAATATACTTTTTACCCCATATTTTTCATCGCTTTCACATATGAGCGGAACATTTGTTCGATAAAACAAGTGCATACTAGTCGATTGATTTCATATTTTTGGATTTCGATTCCACAGGATGGACGATGAAACAGATTTTTGAGCACTTTACGAGTATCGTATGTTCACGATTTCATACTGATTTGCAGGATTTACGAGAGCAAATCCGTAAAATACGAAATATCGCTATGGAAAGAAGAATTCCAATAAAATTTACCGATCGCAGTTGGATTATCATGACTGCAATATTCATTGCAGCTTGCATCTATATTCGAAATATTTTTTATTTCTGTATAAAATCAACAATTTGACTATTTTGTGTTAAATATCCTTTCAAGAACTTACTAATATTATTTACAATTAGATAAGTTTGACTGTTATTTATTAAACGATGGAAGTTCTGAGATGAGGAAGATCTACAAACACATTAATCATAGAACTTTCTTCGGGGTATTAAACCAGAAACGTATCTTGGGTTTTATTTCCGGTTAGTAACGGAAGTTTAGTACCAACAGGAGGATATAATACCCGCCACGGCAAGTTGCTATCGATCGTGTTAAATCAAATCGTATAAAACAGAATCGTTGCGACCAACTCCAGTCTAATAACCAGCATCAAAACCGTTCAGAGTTCACAGGTCACGGGTTCCTCCGTTTCAATTAAATTCAAACCCGCGGGAGAAATGAAAAAAGCTAGGTTTTACTTCGACGATCGCGAGAAAGATCGAATAATTCATCTGGTTCCAGACGCAGAAATGACATTTCCCCATTTCTTTTTCTTTTCATTTTAAATTCATCTAACTTCCTCTTAGCACTAACGCAAACAATTTTATTCGCAACCTTTCTAAAGCAATATAATTTAATTCAAAGATTGATATTACATAAAAGTATTATCTGCGTGAAAAGTAATTAATAAGTTACTTTTGAACGTTACTCTTTTTCTTAGTACTAACCTTTTAACGTATCGTCTTTAAGACCGTTTCGTTGGCCAAAAGAAATTAGGGGCGCAATTACAGTAACCGCGATTCATAAAACGGCTCCGACGTCTAATTTATGCCTTTTGTACGTAACGTATGCAAGTGAGAAACAACGCGACGCGGCATAACTAACGACCTGTCTGCCTCTGTTTCCTCGACAATGGAATGCAAAATGAAAGAGCCATAAAGCTAAACCGTAGCTGAACGGAACGACACTGCATGCACGCGATTCAACGATCTCGTGACCAAAAATGAAAAAGTCGTTTACTTTGCCATTGAACAATTTCCAGATTAACGTGTTACAAAAATAGTAGAACGCTATACCGGCGATACTACGAATCGTTTGCTTTTGTTTCCCAGGCTCTCGTATGGAGTACGAATGTTCGAGCATTGACTATTTCCCGAACGAGGAGTACAGCCCGGATCCGAGCGATTCGACCATGGCAATACCATGTGAGTAGAACGAGAAAAACCGGCATCATGAGACGGATGGAATGGGAAACGCGTGCCTTTGAAGGTGGTTGATTAGGTGTCCTCTGTCTACCGGCTGGACTGGAGTGTGACACGGCCGTAAAATATTCGGCGGAAAAATGCTTTCAGCCAGTAGAATCTACCTGCCACGATAAACTGGATCCGACAATTTCACCCTCCCCGTTTTTCGATTTTCATTCTATCATGGAGAAAAGAAAAAATTCAACTGGTCCGGATAACGTGAAATTGAAGGGAATTATCCTATCGGTACTTTTTTTTCCCCGAGCTCTCATCAAAGAGATTCTTTTCTGGTTAAAGGTATACCGATTGAATTCCAGGAATTTTTCCCTTGTTTTTGGGGCGTTCATGTTTTCGTATAATAACGGAAGAATAGTTTGGAAGAAGGGAGAAAAGAGAGAGAGAGAGAGATAGAAGAAAAAAATTTCCTCGTCAACTTTTCCCATTCGTTCGGCCCGTTCATAGCCATATTTTTTCTCCGCAGACGCAGTTACCAAGTCGGCGATGTTCTTCTTCGCTGCAACATCGCTGCTGGTGCTGGCTGAAGTTTGTTACTTCACTGCTCACGTTACTCACCCGAGACACAGACTTTGCGTCTTTGTCGCCGGAGTGGTCTTCATAGTTTCCGGTGAGCAATAAAGTACACCGGCTTATATCATACGTACTACTTTGCGTGTATCACCTTTCTTTCGGGGATCATGAACACAACTACCGGAACAACTATAAAGTCTTATAAAATGATACCAGAAATAAAATTCTTGGCTTAACTTTACTTTGGGGTACACAAAATTATTGATTTTTTTAAATATATTATAACAGTATTTAATAAGAAAAGTTCAAAAACAAGTACAAGTTTTTATTCTAGGAATCCATCTGTTCAAAAGTTACACGTATATAAAACTGAACGTTTTTAGGTCTGTGGATGGATTCCACACTGAACATGGTGGATGGATTGCGAAAATTAAACCATGCATTAACAAATCATTTGTTCCAAATCTTTACCATAATTATCATAATCAATAATTTATAAATTATGGGAAAATTGGAAAGAATCTTTTGGAAATGATAAATGAAAATATGAAATTCATACTAAATCTAAAATCGATTAGATAAATTTGTATAAAATTTGTAGGTTGGTAAGTGAGAGGAAGTACGAAGACGGATTAAAATTGAAATAATCCCATTACGTAAGCTGGCCAGCCTCCGTGAAATTGTCGCGAGAACTGGTGCACAGAGATAAAGCTTAAGTTATTAAATCAGTTTCTCTTTCAGGTTTGTTAATGCTGGTGGGAATGGTGATGTACATATCTGTGTTCAAAGCTGAGGTTGGCAGTAAGCTCAGACCAAGGTCGTCATTTCAGGTCAGTGAAATATGGCTTTCTAAATGGCTTAAGCATTTCCTTTTGTTCGCAGAAAGTTACTAAAGATATATATTAAACTAGCAGAAATTTTACAGCTCAAAATTTTTTTTATAAAACGATAAGGAATCTAAATTTTGTCTATCGAGTGAAATAAATGAATTTAAACGTAAATTACGATCTAAGCACGATTTCCACGCGAAAGTAATATACGGAGCAACGAAAGTAAGATATGAAATTCTCGATTTTATATTTTCTCTGGCAGCTTAGATTGCTTCTTATCCGTATCGTGCTCATACGAATGAACACCATCGTCGCAATCTTGCGATTTCAGGGACCGCCCTTCACCTACAGGTACGGATTCTCATTTCTGCTGTACGTGAGTGGCTTCATCACGACCGAAGTCGCTGGCACTTACGCCATTTTCTTGTATATCTCTTGGCACCAAAAAGAACTGGTACGGAGAGATTCCAGGCGAAAAAATTACGGGGTTGGTAGTATCAGCTTCTTTTTTTACAATTTCATAAGACACACTCTACAGTTTTATCACAGGTGCTTTGAAAAAACTTGGACAGAATTAACATCCCTTTCGAAGTTTTCATTTGGCCAATTTCAATTTATTTACCTTTCATTTGCAGAATATCAAAGTGATCAAATTATTCATTGTATGCAAATTAGAATCTCTTTTTAATAAGGGAACTTTTGTAAGAAATGATACATGAGCCACTTAAAATTAAAGAGATACAGATGACACTTTCATTTTCATTTTTTATTATTTAATTCAAAAATTTTTAAAAAATGCCACTTGCACCACTTTGGTTTTCTTGGTATAGGTTTTCAATTGCAATTTTTATTACCTACATGTGTTTTCTTAAGATTCTCAGACGATTTTAAAGCAGATAACTTCTTTTCGGAAAGATTCAGTGGTTTTAACGGCGAAGTAAAACCTTCGCGCAAATGGACTTCTAGCTTGCAATTAGTTAAATATCTACACGGCTTAACTCTATCTTGTACAAACTGCAAAATTCGATGTAATAAAGTTTATCTCTGAGGGAAGATAAATTTTAGTGAAAAGGGAAAAGCTCCTCTGTGACACTTCCATCAGTCTCGTAATTACGATATCCCAGGATAATTAAACTTCTATGAAATGTAGGTACTTATATCACTGAACTAATTATTACGAATAACTCGGATAATTTTGATACACCCAGCGAAAGATCCGTCTGAACAGAAACGTAATTCGTTAAATATTCTGTCCAAGTTGAATAACTCGCTTAATTATTATTAAACCCTCATCTGCATATCATTTCACAAGCGGTCATAGAAATTCGCGAAAACAAAAAGCATTCAACGGCGATATTAAAATTTGTCAAGCGAAGATATTAAAATATTTCCAATGAGGATATTAAAATTTTTCGAATAATGGCATTAAAATTTTCATAAATTCAGCATTGATCAGGGGTGAAGATGAAGTCTCTCGAAAATAAATTTAAATTGTAAAATAAAATTCTAATTTTTGTTATTTAGAGAAGTATAGGAAAAATAAGTTTCAGTGAGATTGGTAAGTAAGAAAACGAATGAACAGATAAATTCTTTTGATGCTTTTCACGATGGCGCAATTAAATCTTAGGTGGGCTATTAACTGACTTGAAGTAAATTTAGCGATTTACTCTAACTGAATTGCAATCCGGCTGCTAGGGGTAAATTACATTTAACTAGTAAACAGACACCGAATGAAAACGAAACGGAACGCGAAGCATTGGCTCTCGGTGCTCGAGTGTTTGAGATCTTATTTGCACAACGTCATCCTATCACGAAACAAATGATACTCTCCACTTTTACTGACTAATTGTAAGTACGTTTTATCGTACAAAGCAAAAATTCACATTCTACCTGCCATTTATTCCGTGTATTACATCCAATTCATCAATGCTTCCAATGTTTATTTTAAACGAAAGAGTGCCGAGATAAAATTTTAAATATTAGAACTTCACTAAACATCCTTTGCTAAAAATAATTTATTATTCTGCAACGTTACATTGTAAAATTTTATTTCACTGTATATCGCAATATTTAGTTGTAGAGAAAAAGAAAATTTTTTTACTTTATTTTTTTTGGACCAAAATTAGGATAGAGATTAGGAACTGTGTTCCCCTGGAATTTCATTAAACCATCTAAAGCTATCTAAAGCACTGCACTTTTATATTCCATCCTTTTCAAAATTTCAACTGAATCTAAGGTAACCTGATCAAAATTTAAATTCCCTCCATTTCACTATTCTCTGATTTCTGTTTTAGGGATGAAAAATATTTTGAATTAAAAAATATTTAACAGTGCTTTTGGATTATCTCTTCCCATCACGCTTAAACCTATTTCCTTATGAAATAAATAAAGATAACTGAGAAAGAAATCTATTATAAATACCAAAAAGTAACCATTAACCAAAGAAAATGTGTAAGAAAAGATGAACTTTAAAACAAACACAGCAATGAATGGAAACTGACAAAACATGATAAACACGAACAGGGCGCGAAAAAGCAGAAAAGAAAGAAGAAATGGAAAAGAAAGAGAACAATTCACAATGTACAGTGATCTCTGCAGTCTCTGTTTATTCATTCTTGCTTGATTTATTCCCGTCAGTGGTAGAAGTGCACCACTCTCCGGGCAATAAGAAACTGCAAGTAGAATAGGTCAACCATATACCGGCCATTAATCAAGTCGTTGCATAGTAAACATATATTTTATTTATCTTTCTCATCTTATTTATCTATAAATCTCATATGGTAATAAAAGTCATGGAAGACTTGAGAAAATAAGAAAAGAAAAAGTCTATTAAAAAGTGTCACTGTTTATTTAACACCAACACCAGCTACATTTTCATGTATTTTAAATTAGAAACAATGAAAACGAGAACCGGAACTTTTTTTCTGCAACACGCGCATGATAATTATGCAAATTAGGGTTTAATGTATCTTTTATGCATTCGACCTACTACCCCCCCCCCGAAACAATGCACCTTTAACACCTCTAGTATTGAGCGCAATTTTAAATGCAAAACCAACGTAAAGCGGAAACAATATCTCTTGTGATTAATACATTCCGGTAGCATAGAATCAATTATAAAAATTTTGTTTATAAAAATAAAATTAATTCTTGAACATTATCTTCATTGATCATCAAAATGGATTAATTTTTTATTGATTAATTTCGTTTTGCATTTAAATGCTGCAAACACTTTTCATTTTATAGAAAGAACATCTTTTCTTTTTCCATAACATTTCTTTTCAGGGTGTGTATCACTTAGACAATCACCACGTGCATCATGCAAATCATGCGACAATAGGTCACAGTGGTTTCCTGTGCGAAAGGCATCAGAAGAGATACTTTTTCAGCAGGGATTCCGTGGATCACGTCGATTTCGACGAATTTTTGCCACCACCGCCAAATTTGGACTACCATGACTATTCCAGACAATTTCCCAGAGATCTTACCACCCAGACAGTAAGCGATTCGGATTAGTACTAAGAAAGAATTTTTATTTTATAACTGTGCTCTCTAAAAATAATAATTTAATTAAACATAGGTTAGCACAACGGCTGATGTGCTCCAGGAAGAGGAAGAAGAATACAGTCCGAGTGTTCAACACGAATTCGTCACCTTTGATCTAGACGAACCACTACCACCACCACCCCCCGTTAGGGGTAGCGAATGGAGTTTCGATACGTTGAGGAAAACGACTCCTGTCTGATATACCGTCAGGTATAACATTTAAATTACATTTTTTATTTCTTTCATTATATTCCATAATAATATTTTACTCTAATATTTTCTGTTTTCTTCATTTTCTAATTTTCTAAATTTTAATATTTTCTAATTATCCTAATATTTTATTCAAATAAATATTCTAATATTTCATTTTAATAAATATTCTACAAATTTCTAACTAAAAACAATTATTTTACATCTAACAAAATTGCAAAATAAATTGAGTGATCATAGTCACCATACAACATTTGTCAATTATCAGATATAATATAATAATGTATTTCAAAGGATCAATTCAATTCAATATCCTTTTTCTTTCTTTCTCGAAAGATACGCGCGGTTGGTACAAAGCGTTGAAAGCGACGACGACGAGGAGGAGGAAACGGAAACCGAAGAGGACCACGACCTAGTCGGCGATTGAACGGATCCGGTCGATTTTTTAACGAGACACCTTGCAACGCAACCGGAAGCCTTTCATCGTTCACGACTCGTCGACAATCGACGCGGAAACAAACGAAGCTTGGAACGCTTGATCGATGAATTATCGAATGGCTATCGATCGTAGAACTTGGAGCTATCGAAAAACTATCCATGGCAAGTAATTCGCTCGTCACCGATGAAAATAAGTGAACGAAGAAACGGAATTAATCCATGAACGATAAAGTGCTTCGACTGTAATTAACATGTCTAATTTTATAGTTCTCTTGATGGTGAACATTTTCAAATGTAAATCAATGACTCGTTTAATTCGATGAATGTTCTAAGAAAGTTTCACCAGTTTTAAAAGGCTTTTAATTAACTGCTAACGCTCGGATTCTCGTTTGAACACAAGAAGAGTGTGAATTTGTTGAAAATGAACCGTTGGCGATGAAAAATATGAACGAGATAAAAGGGACACGTGGATGAACTTAAGGATTAATTGAACGAATCGAGATGTAAATGATCATTCACGTGATTCGTGAAATTTTAATGTGAGTGTACAGAAAAGAGACAGAAGTATGGAAATTAAAAAGGAAATCACTGAATTTGGGAGAGACAAATTTCATGATTATTGCTGCGATAACGATCTTATAGGTATTAGGATTATTTATATTGGTTCCTGTTTCCTTGCAAAAGGAAGGAAAGATGTTTGTTTAAAAGACTGCAATCTATATCTGCCAAAGTTAATTAAAATCGAGACTGTGAATCGATCAATCGGTATAATTGTATAAGTATTAATATATTCGTTGTAATTGCGATATGTATAATCGTGGAACACCTGAATTTTTGTTACTGTGAAAATCTTTTGTTTTCTATATTGTCTGAAATGGAATTATTTTTTACACACAAATTTTAAAAAGTATAATTCGAATTTTAATTCTTCTGTTCCTATTCGCAACTCTATATTTATTTCCAATTGTGGCAATTTGCAAAATTAAAATCCTAAATAATTTTAAACGATTCAAAATTAATTTTTTTAACTGCAATGCTTAATTTTTAATTAATGTTAAATTACTATACGTAATAAAGAAATTATCACAAAAGATGTCCACAGAATTATGAATAAAAATAAAGAGAAGACTGGGATGCTAAGAGACATTTTTTAGCACAGTTATAAAAAAAGGAATTGTGAAAGATTACAAAACTGAAACTCGTTGATTTCTTAATGATATTATAAACATGTTTACAATCGAACTGATTAAAAGGAATTTTATCATATTCGTTGTACAGAACGAGTAACGTTATTGTATCAATAATAGGTCTGAAGATTTTTAATAATACTTTAAATAATCATGAAATAAGTTTTTTATACGCTGGTCAATTTTCCACTGAGATTTTGCAAGTAAAAGTTTATACGCTGATTAAATAATTGATGATTTAAGAAAAGAAAATTTCATCAAATAACTGTTAACTCATAAACAAGAAAAAAATTGATTACAAGTCTGGTTAAATGCAATATGTATTCTATGTAATATTAAACATTGTTGCTAATTTTTTAATGGAGAATAAAATGTACCAATGTGTTTTTGCTCTAGTGTTCAATATTGTTATCAAATTTGACAATAGCAATCATGTTTAAATGAAACAATTTTTACAATTAAACTTGATGTAATTATATAGCACACCATGTTCACAATTTTATAATTTCTTTCTTTGTAATAAAAAAAAAAAAGAAAAACATTTTAATATATAAAATTGTTTCAATCACATAAGAATACAAAATTCTACTAAGCATTATTTATATAAGGATAAAATATATACTATGGGACATTAAATATACTGTTAAACTTAAATTGCTTATAGAATAATTTGAAACAAATTTAAAATCACTTTGATTATTTAGTGGGATATTATAGAGTATCCTAAGATAGTTAATACAATATAAAATTTCTAAAACATTGATTAAAACATAAATTTTGAAAGAGTACATGTATAAATCAAAGAATATCTTTTATTATATTATAAGATATTATTTTACTTTTATGTGACTGAAACAATGTGTTGTTCTAAGAACATCTTGTAATTCTCGAAAACCTACTTGTACATACATGCAATATTTGCAATGTAATATAATATGTGGTACAGAATACATTGCCAAAGAAAAATTGTTTTGCATTATATATTTATAATGCTCTAAATTATAACATTAATTATAAGATACCAAGACTATGTGGTAGTCGATAAGAAGGATAAGATAAAACTGAATAATTTTGACACCATGGACCGTGACAAAAGCAACACAATATAACAAACATAATATTTTGTCTAAGGACAAAAAAAAGAAACATGTTTCTTACAAAGCTGCCATTGTTTATAAAATAATACATGTTCACTAGCATTTAATAGGAATTTATTGATTATATATTAAGTGATGATAAGCTTGTCTGAACTTTACAATTTGTACAATAAAGTTTCTTCAAAATAAATGCAATGATTTTTTGGCAAAATTCATATATAACTTGATTAATAAGTTTGTTCTTGAATACATCAAACAAAATAAATATTCTATTATCATGAAAATATGCATGCTATATAAAGAAAATATAAAAAACGATTGATTGTTATAGTTAGTAATGTTGAGGTATTAAATCCTTACCTTCTACGAACTGGACATTTTTCTCCATCAGAATTGCTCAGAACTGCAGCGAACAGCAAAAATAACACAAAAAAACAAAATCCATACTTTAACAAAAATTAGTTTACACTCAATTTAGAACTTATTTAATTTAAAACAACTAATTATCACACTTTGAACGACCGCAACAAATGACGCGTTTCGAACTTCCTTCCTTATGGGAGGAGAAAGGGAAGATGGCGTCTCATCAGCATTCGTGGAATTTAAAATTCAAAATTGTATTTTATAATTTCTTTGAATTTTAGTAATAAATATATACCTCTTATAATCAGAACTGCTTAACAAAAAAAAACTGCTGATTAAACGAAAAAAGAAACATAAATAAAGTATTTTTTAAGCAAAAGATATTTTAATACGTGCTTCCGGTTTCCGATTTGAATAGTTCAAATTGTACAGATCGCCTTAAGCGGTGAACGCTGAAAACAGTTTAAATTTCCGAATTGTAAACGTAAGTACTTACATAGAACGATAATAAATTGTCTGTATATATACTTTTCAGTAGGAAATAAAGAATTAAACGGTTTAATGTTTCATCAATTTTATTGTATATATAAATAATAAAGTACATTATCTAAATTTAAAAAACTCCACCACTGACGATCTAATACAAGAAAAGAAATCGCTAATCGATTTCAACGTTGGCGAAGCTTCCGGTTTGGTATTAAAAGAAGGAATGTTGGATATACATGATGCATTAGAGCTTTTTTGTACATAAGGTACATTTTCTGTATCCGTAATATTCTGTAAAGTACATATAAATAAAGAAGGTATTCATTTTTATTATTTACACAAATTAATACTTAACTTACATAATTGATATTTTGTAGACAGCATTTATTCTCTTTATAATTATTATCACTTTTAAATTTTTTAAATTTCTTCAATAAGAGCAAACATTTATTTTCTGATTGTACATCTGCATCTGCTTCATTATCCTTCTTTAAATATACAATTTTTGATGCGTTCAAGTTAACCTGTTAAACGTACAATATAATATACAGTATGAAGCCTAATAACATTTAATGACAATTTACATCCTTATTTATTTAGAACCTTTTAATTAGAAGCTGTTATACAAACCTCTGTTTCTTCGTCTGATCTTTTCCTTTTACCAGCAATTACTGGGATATTATCAGATGGAAATAAATTAAGATTATTGTGCCTTAATGGTTTTCTTGAACTACTATCTTTTCTTAAAGTTTGTCGGCATTCTACGTACTAACAAAATAAAACAGTTCAAATTAATTTATGTACAACATTTTCAAATAGGAACACTGTTTTTTAAAAATACCTTTTTTATGGAATTTTGTATTGCTTCTATCCATAAACTACTATCCTCCTTTTCAGAGTACAGTAAAAGTATTTCATTTAAACAAGTAACACGAAACAATCCTCCGCTCAAAACTGATTCAATGTTGCATTTATTTAATGGTAAAACACAACACACAGTTAATGTGTTTTGCGGGTCACCTTTACAATACAATAAAATATCATCAAAGAGAACAAAGTATCTTCGATATGCGGAATTTCCTCGTCTTGATACTCTCATTAATGCTCCTTGTTTAATCAATTTTCTACCGGGTTTTACCAAATTAATTGGATTTGCAATACACTTTTGAAGTTTTAATAATTTCTGTGTTTCTTCGTGTTGTTCAATTAAAGTATTCATATGCCTTGCAGCTTTCTCAATTTCTACTAGACAAACTTTAAAAATAAAGAAATTTAATAATGCTGTTCTATAATATTTTAAGTTATTCGACCCAATATTAAATTATACTTTATATGTACCCTGTAGAAGATTATATTCCTTATGTTTATTCGGTGTATGTTGCAAGACTTCTTGCAGGAGTAATTTATATCTAGGTACCCTTTGTATTGGTGTAATTAATAATGAGGGTAATTTTCTACCAACTTCTGGTCTTGTTTCTTGTCCAGTAATAAAATTTTTAAATGTAGTATCATTTTCTTGTTTCACCTGGAAAACAAATTTTGTTAGATATCGCTAATTTGTAACTACTAAATTATAGTCAATACCTGTATCAAGTATAAAATCTGCTCATAATCATAAGCATAAACTGAGTACAGTTTAAAAAATGGAGCCAGTTTATGAAATGCACCAGCAATATTTTGTGAATTCTCTTTCAATTCCTTTATTAATTCTCCACTAACATTATACAATGTTTTTATGTTCTCAGATAATGTTGAAAGTAAACTGTGATCTAATAACTTTCTTTCAAACATAGGTTGTATAAAATACTGAAAAATATTTATACATTAATTCAATATTATAGGAACTATTAAATGTAATTAAATTGTACCTCCATTAAGATCTCCAACTGACGTAGATAAGTAACTTCAGTTGTTAAAATTTCTTGAATAGCTTGATATCTTAAATTCTTCTCTTTTTCTTCAAGCTGTTTTTGATGACTCTCGTTTAGACTATTGAGAACTGCAAGTATAAGGATATTTAATACATTAAAAAATATATAGTATACGTTGTTTTATACTTATTAATTATATACCTTTCATACGACTCCGCATACTTAAAACATTTCTGTCATTTATAATCTTTTTTAGTTCAGAACTCAAAGGAGTTTGTGGTGATCTTGGTGAATTCATAACTAATAATGATTTTCAATTGCTGAATGTTATTATACTTCTTGTTTTAATATTGTATATTGTACTTTTATTCAAATTTATGTGTAAACATGTATATTTATAATACTTTATTACAATGTTACTTCAGCACTGCTTTCAAAACTACCTGTTAGAATTTAATTTTTGTTGCATCAATTTAAAGTATAATCAAGGTGTGTAAATAGAGATGAGTTGTTTTATTGGTTGATCTGACATCTGGGGTAAAACTTCCATCAATGTAACTAGAAAATAGGAGTTTTTTTACATAAATAAAGTCCCTAAACATTCTTACGCTAATGTTGGCTAAACTATAACCGGACTAGCATATGCGAGTTGTCGAATATCAAAACATATGATGAAGTGACAATTTAATCAGAATTGCATCTGTTAATGTTTCTAATTGGTATTTTCATGAAACCATTGTTATCGGTAATAACACTGAAAGAAATATTGAAACGTCAAAAGTATAATAGTGTAACATAACATTCTACTTTTAAATAAGGTACGATATGGTTGATTTCTCAAAAATTTATTGATGGTTCTCGTGTCATCTGTGAAATGTCACGTCCGGGTAATAATTATTAGCATAAAGGGAATAACGTTTGTTACAGTAACATGAAACATTAACATTAATATTATTGAGGCTTATTCTACACCATTTAATTATTTTTCTGCATTTCATAATTACGTAACAAAGTATGTTATTATTATGTAGGTTTATTTTTAAAACGACAACAATTTCTTTATTATTTTTAAGGAGAGTATAAATAGTTTCTGTCAGCAATTTTTGTTTCCAATTTTGGAAGTTATTGCTACTTTTAAGGTCAAGATAACATTGTCAGATAGGTTATGATGCATGTCATGCTTTTGTTATGTTATAATTTACATTAGCCGTGTTTTAATTAATGATAATGAATTTAGTACATAAGAATTGTAAAAACATATTCATTAATATTAGTTTTGTTTTTTATTATTTACAATGACCTCAGTCACTCAAAAAAAAGTTTTGGTTTGCATACATGGGATAGATATAAAAATGTATGTCTTAAAAGTTTATTTATCATATAGATAATAAACTATTTTGTGAAATATTAATTTTAATTATTAGGATAAGTAAATATATATAGAATTAAAAGCATAGACAATATAATAACAATTAAAGTATACTTATATTTAATCAGTGTATGTATATTATATAATTGTTATTGTATGTTTCAGAATAATTAAGCAGTCATTCTGGCATGGAAATGTACATATACAACATGTATAAGTACTTTCCAAAAAATATCATACACAAAGACTGTATGAGTAAAAACTATTAGTTATACATACATCACTTGTTAAAAACAAATATTATATAGTATTTAAAATGCCACAAGTGGATGGTGCTGCTATACCAACAACAAATAATCAAACTAGTGAAACTGTACATAATCATAATACTAATAGTTCAACTCGTCCAACTTTAAGTAACAACAACATGAATACTGCTAGGAACAATAATAACCAACACCAGCTAGTTAACGTTCGGGATAGATTATTTCATGCAATATTTATTAAGGCTGCGTTAATTTATGCAAGGACATTTCCAAGGCCTGTCAGAAGATTTTTAGAATTTATGACATTATTAAAGGTGATTATGTTTCCAGAATTATTAAGAGTTTCTTAGTTGAATATAATATAAGTTATATAATCGTAAATGTTGTATTTTTAGGCCATAGCAGCATTTTTTGTATTGGCTTATATTCATATAGTATTTTCACGAACACCAACTAACTGTTTGGAGCATATAAGAGATGATTGGCCTCGGGATGGTATATTAAGAGTTGAAATACTTAGAAATGGAGGTGACGATTATAGCATTGAAAAAAGCTATGCAAAAGAAGAAAAATTACGACAAGAGAAACTTTATGATCTAACTGATGCGTTGGGAATATTAACTAGAGATGGGTAAAAACAAACACGTCGTATTAGTTTTAAAAAATTCATACCGATTTTTATTATTAAATGTTTTAATTGCTAATTTTGTTGCTATTTCGTTTACAGATTTATTAACATTGAACCATCTGCCGTTGACGAAGAACGTGATAGCGTTAATGTATCGAACGAAGAAAATCATGATAGTTTAACATTATCCGAGAAAGAATTAATTCTAAAAGGTACTGCTGTTTCTGGAGATACACAAGATTCAAAGTTGAATATAAATAATACAACAACTCCTTCATTGTCAACAAAACTTTGGAATGAAATGAATATGGACAATAAAGAAGTAAATATCACTTACTAAAATAAATATTAAGTTTATTGTATACAATACTTTATTTTTAAGTCATATTTCGAATTAATGTTTTAGGTACTAGATGAGAATGTAGTGCCGCTAAGTGCGCATAATAATACTGTAGAACAAGATGCAAATGAAGTAAACAAAGATGATGTTATTCAACCTTTAAAGGATCCTAATTCCGAAGTGAGAACAGGTATGGTTATACTGTAAACATTGATAGTAATGATCGGGTATATGACACCGACGACAATGACGATGAAATATTGTTTTATAAATAAATTGTCCTTTTTTCTTTAGACGATGGTTATATCGTGGAATATTCATTAGAATATGGTTTCTTGAGGTTATCACCCGTAGCACGACAAAGATTAAACATTCCTGTAAAGATCGTTACTTTAGATCCTGCTAACGATAAGTGCTTCGGTGATGATTTCTCGAGGCTAATACTTGATGGATTTTTGGGGTACGATGATTTATTGATGGCGAGTATTAAGACGTTAGCAGAACACGAAGATAATAAAGGATTTTTACGGTGAGTGAATTTGTTTCATAAATTTTTATATAGATTATAATTGTTTTGATGACAATATATCGTGCGTTTATTACAGTAATGTGGTTACGGGAGAACACTACCGATTTGTAAGCATGTGGATGGCCAGAACTTCCTATCTTGCCGCCTTTTTCATCATGTTGGTTTTTGTAAGTAGTCACTGCATGTACTTTTAAATATTTGTTATTTATATAAATTAAATATTATAATAGTTAAAGATTTCTAAATTCAATTGGGTATGTATATAATTTAAATTTGACGTTAGTTGCATTAAATTGATTTCTCTTTCATAGAAAGTTATTTATATTATGAATTATTACAAATGTGCTATAATATCAGAAATGTTACGTGCGATATGAGTCTAGAATATTCTGAAGGCGCAAATTAGATTTAGTTTCATGCGCTACGTGTTTTCGATCCGGATATATTCCTCTCCGTCAAGGGGATAGTATCACACATATCCGCGCGACAACCTAGTACGTGTAAAAGGATATGGCAATCAATTCAAAGTAACCACGCACTGAGATAACCCCCCTCTATAACCCTCCAACCCCTTGCACCCTTACACATGGTTATCCCCTTGGAGTTGAACCGTTGAGTATAAATCAACGTTATTAGAGGCATCATATTCGTTGTAGAGGTCCCAAGTCGGTAATTTTGTATCAAATTGTTCCCAAATACGGTACGTCGCATCCAGTGAGTGATTATAATGATTCTTAGAAATTTTCGATGGGCTCAAATGATTTGATTAATCAACATTATTTTCATTTAATATTGAAACGTAAAATGGAGCGTTTAATTCATTGTCTACCTTGCATTACCGACAACTTTTACTTTGTAGTCAAATAAGTGATTCTTATTATTAGGTATATTATCGCTAGTTACATCGCAACATAAACATTATGGTTGCCAGATGGATTGTGAAATTTTGGGGTATTCCCTGGTGTTAGGAAGTGATTGGATCATATACGGACCAACGAATAACTCCACTCGTGTTTAATGGGTTTATGTCGGTCGAACAAATGAGTAATATTGCATACTACTAACCATGATTCAAATGCAATGCACTGTGCACCAGTCTACATCTAGTTCGTATCTAGGTATTCATGATGGGTGCATAGTGAAAATCCAATTACTCTATGCATGAATAATTTTGTTAGGATAAATGTTCAAATATAAATGATAAAATTTTCATCAGATTTGTTAAGTCGATTCATGTGCAATATTAAATGAATGTTATTTTTTAAAATTTATTTTAAATATAAATTTAAATGGATAGGATCCTAGTATCATAATTTTATATCGCACCGATGCTATAATTTCTTGGCAAATCATTCTATTATTGTACATTTTAAATCCGGTATCCGGTTCTCCTTTTAACAAAGTTCTCGTGTAATATTTCATGTAGAACATTGGAAATGTTTCGATGTAGCCGCTGGTTGAGACAGGAGATGGGTGAATCTCGTGCCACAACACGTGAATGTTACTTCAGTGCTTGGGGTGCTCTACCTGGAACCACCCTCGGTCAACCCCACCGTTGTAGAGTCACGTGTACGCGGGGACTGTCGTCATCTACGTATTACCCCATATTCCCTGTGTCATGTGCACACGACATTGGGTATATAGTCTGTTGCAACACGATGTATCTTGAAATACTATTCCCTTTTTTCTTTTCTCTTCTACTTGATTGTACACCTACCTTTTCTTACTTTTCGTACAAGCCAGCTCTAACGGGACAACATTATTATTTTTAGAAATGTTGTAAAATGCAACCTATAATTATTTTTTTCTTTTTGGTTATTTTGAGCAATTACTATTTTCTTCAAAATGATGAAAGCCTCCTGTATGGGGTGCAGAGGGTTGAAATAAAAAACATTCTAAACAATTAGATAGATAATCCTGTTCTACTCGGATTCATTTTGTCCGAACTCAGTGTCGATTCTGTCTCTTTTTCTTTTTTTTTTTTTTTTCGTCCATCGGTTTTTCTCGTAAATAACATCGACGCGTCTGCAAAGTACCATTAAACGCTTCCGTTACCAAGGTTTCCCATTGCAAATAGTGAATTATCCGCTGGGTGTCAGGTGCTAGCTCAATCCGAACCGTTCGCAATTCAATTGCACCATTCGCTCTCAACCCGGTAACCGAGTGCGATCGTTCGGCTTGCAATTTATCTCGCAACGCGTCTTCGTTGCAATTTCCTTTTATTAAATAATAAACACCTTCAGCCTGTTTTGCTGCGCGCATTAATTGACACGGTGTCGTCCCGTTCGTTTGCAAAGGATCCGTGAAAATTACGCTCCTTCGCGTTGAATTATTCGAATCTTCATTTCAATTATTTTCTCAAAACGGAACTCAACTCTCGGACGGCGGACCATGGAGAGAGCCGTAATTTTAATTTAAAACAGAAGTTGAAAATTGAAATGATTCAATTGGAAATGTTATAGGATTTATTTATTATTTTGAAGATTATGAATTTAAATAATTTGACGTTTATTTTTATATGTTTTTCAGACGATCTCCATTTCGATGTTGCTGCGTTACTCGCATCATCAGATCTTCGTCTTCATTGGTAAGTGATTAAAATTGATAATTGTATTAAAAATGATTTAATTTATTCGCGTTTGCTCTGGAGATATGAATATTGATATGTATCTCTTTTAAATATCTCGTTTAATAATGCTTCTACGTTCGGTTCGATTTTGAATGAAATTTCGCGTTTCATCGACGAATTTCATACGGTTATTATTAACTGAATAATGAATTGCAAATGATAAAAAAGAATTATAGAAATTCTTATAATTTTGTTATAAATTTGTCAACTTCCATGTCCTTTTCACAGAATTATTTATTAAGCTTTAACAAATAACGAGTTAATAATATTTTGCAACATTTTGTTAATTTTTTTATTCTTCTGTGATAAAATTCGGGTGATTTTAAATCAAAATTTATTTAATGATTTCACATAAAAATGGTTTCTTTGGTATACTGAAAATTGCTTAAAAGTAATTTTCAAAGTTTTCTTTATGCAAAAATAAAATATTATAATTCGTTTAAAAATTGTGCAGCAATGATTCTGTAATTCAAAAGTGTAAAGAAATAAGCAAAATCACATTACTCATTCGACAGATATAAAATAACATCCAGTAAAACATAATTTTTCAAAGGTACTTTGTACCTTTTTTGTTCGGGCATTAATCTCTTTATCGATTTTTGATAGGAAGGAGTGAACGAACTTTTATATCAGATAACTTCGTACGACGTAATTAATTGATTTTTTCATCATCCGCAATTCAAAATTCTGCTTGATATTGTTTCGCAAAAGCGTTTTATCTATTGTATAAGTACATCTTAAAAAAATACCACTTATCTGAACATCTAAGATTAATACCCTCTTATCCAGAAACTCCTGCACATTTATACCCTCTCTCCTCATTTATTTCCGTGTATATGGCTGTTTGCAAAGCTTTATAAAGATCGTAAGTAATTGTCGATCGTCTTTAAAGTACCTACATAACTGCCATGGATTCGTTATTGATCTATATCCAGACACTGGTGGTCGTTGTGATCACCTTTGCTTTGTTTAAATACTTTTCAATAATCTATAAACAATCGTCCTACTGGAAAAAGCATGGAGTACCACGACTGCGTTCATCTTCAATGATTTTGTTTGGTTTCGGCGATTTCGTAGAATATTGTAAATACGTTTACAATCATTGTCCAAGTGCAAAGTACGCGGCATTTATAGATTTCGGTACGTCGATCACCGTTTTGCGCGATCCAGAATTAATAAAAACGGTGACTATCAAATATTTCGACCATTTTCCGGACCATCGGAGCTTCGTCACCGAAGAAATGGATCCAATTTTTGGGAAGAACGTGTTCTCATTGACGGGTGACCGTTGGAGGGAGATGAGGAACACCTTGAGTCCATCTTTCACTACCAATAAAATGAAATTCATCTTTGATTTGGTGTCCAAGTGTTCTCAAGAATTCACCAACTATCTGTACGACCACCCAGAATTCTCTTCAATGATAGAGGCTAAGGATGCATTCACCAGGTACACGAATGATGTGATAGCTACAGTAGCTTTTGGAATAGACGTGAATTCTTTGAAACATCGTGACAATGAATTTTACACGTACGGAAAGGATGCAACAAATTTCAGCGGTGTATTCCGTTTGTTGAAGTTTGTACTTTTCCGTATTAGTCCACGTATGATGAGGATGGTTGGCATCAGGTTCCTATCCAACTCAACGTCGGAATTTTTTTGGAGAGTGATCAACGAAACGGTGAAAACACGTGACGAACGAGGCATCGTTAGACAGGACATGATCCATCTTCTGATGCAAGCTAGACATGATGAGAAACACCAAATAACTATCGAGGATATCGTGGCCCAGGCTTTTATCTTTTTTTTGGCTGGCTTTGACTCGTCTTCCACCGCGATGTGTCACGCGACCTACCTGCTAGCTTTGAATCAGGATGTTCAAGCAAGGCTCCGCGACGAGGTGGATCGTTATTTGGAAGAAGAAAACGGGAAAATCTCTTACGAATCCTTGTCGAAGATGAAATACATGGACATGGTGATATCAGAGACACTTAGGCTTTATCCTCCATCGTTGTTAACAGATAGAACTTGCGTGAAAAAGTTAGAACTACCTCCAGCTATGGATGGTTACGATGGTGTGACTATAAATCCAGGTGAAAGCGTTTGGATTCCTATTTTTGCGATCCATAGAGATCCGAAATATTTTCCAGATCCGGAGAAGTTTGATCCGGAACGTTTCAGCGATGAAAATAAAAATAATATTGTTCCTTATACATACATACCATTCGGTTTAGGACCTCGACAGTGTATTGGAAATAGGTTCGCGTTGATGGAGGTAAAACTTTTGATGGTTCATTTATTGCAGAAATTCGTGATCAAACCTAACGAAAAGACGTCGATTCCTCTTGTGTTTGAGAAGTCTAGTTTTACATTGATTCCGAAAGACGGGTTTTGGGTTAGTTTCGAGAAAAGGGAATATTAGATTCGTCGTTATTGTTTATGTATTTTATAGTTTATATTTTATTGTTGAGAGTGATGAATAAAGAAGACGAGGTTTTATTCGATTTGAATAATAAAATGGAAAAAAATTGTGCAAATCTTAAAAGATTTTTGAATTTGATTGCAAGTGATGTTTTATATTTTCCTATTCTTTTTTCGTATTCCATATGCATTGAATTTAGATCACTTTCTGTTCTATTTTCTTATACACTGAGCAAACTGTTGAATCGATAGACTTCATTTTACGATACAATTTATTGTGTCATACGCAATTACTTTCATGAAATTCTTTTACACTTTGTTAACCAGTTTTATGTCGAGTAAAAGAATGATAAACTGTTGGTTCGTTTCCAAATAAATGAAAACTTGTACCAAAATTCTTTTTCCTTTTCGCGTTGCAAAGTCCAGATTTTTGAAACATTCCGCATTTAAAAAAAATCTAATAGAAATCAGGATAATTTTTTTAAATCATTTTAAAAATACTTTTCTTTTTAATAAAAATTGAAATAATCTAAACACACACGGTTGCTCAGAATACAGACGCAATTTTACTTGATGAAGGTCAAAAGTTATGGAACAATTACATAATAGAACCACTTGATGAGAAGGAGCCAATACCAGTTTCCTTTTCACTTAGGAGAAATTTTAAATTAGAATTCGTCCACGGAAGATTAATTCTATTTTCTTCTAAAAAAGTAGCGAAGTGAAACTTCACCTATCAATATTACTTTCTTTTAAAAAACTTTGTTTTATATCTTCATTAATAAATGGTCGCATACTTTTAGTTGGTAGTGTAGTTGCTTCTTACTGAATGCCTCCTATTAATAGACTACTTTAAACGAAGGTCATAAATTTTCTATTATTTATTTATAGATCATTATTTTTCTTTACGATTAAATATTACTTAATCTTATTTGGAATGAATTTCAAATTTTGAATCAAGTTCATCAACCAAGGAAGCCCTGAAAAGTTTGATAGCCCTGGGCCATAGAAATCTTAATCCGGTCCTGGCTCAAACATTTACATGGCATGCACATTGTCCATGAAATGCGAATAAAATTTTATAGAAACATTCTCGAAAATAAAAATCATGTAATAATATGAAGTCCTAATCGCTAATCAAGGTCTTCTAGTCATAATCGTTTCACGTAGCGCACGATCGATGCTGTCGCGTATTTCCTCTCTCATTCTCTCATTCTACTTCTCTTATTCGCACAACGATAATTCCGTCGTATTTATAAAGATGTAGCTCTGAACTGGTAGCTATTCGCGTGCGTGACTTATCATGGAGATCCTCGTGACTTGTTCAGCGTTCACAATATTAGCGATCACGTTGATCGCTATAATTCTCGCGAAATTAATTACGGTGATATATCGAAAGCAGACGTACTGGAAGAGCAGACGGGTGCCTTACATCAGGTCCGTCCCAGTACTCGGTGTTATGTGGAAGTTCTTTTTACGCCGAATCACAATTCTGGAACTCAGTGGCGAAATGTACAACTCTTATCCGAACGCGAGATACGTGGGATTCATCAACGCCATTTTTCCGGCCGTGTTGATCCGTGACCCTGACTTAATTCGAGACGTAGCCGTGAAGTATTTCGACCACTTTACAGACCGTTACAATTTCGTCAATGAAGAAATCGAGCCTATGTTCGGGAAGAGTTTGCCCCTGTTACGCGGTGAACGTTGGAAGGAGATGAGGAACATTCTCAGTCCGTCTTTCACGGCAAGTAAAATGAGATTCATGTTCGAGCTTGTATCGAAATGTTCCCGAGACTTCGTGGATTATTTCGTCGAGCATCCGGAGTATACTTCGTTCATAGAAGCCAAAGACGCCTTCGCTAGGTACACCAATGACGTGATATTCACCGTAGCTTTTGGAATAAACGTGAATTCGTTGAAGGATCGGGAGAACGAGTACTTCGTCCGAGGGAAAACGATCTTCAACGATATATTTGGGAGCATCTTTAAAGTGTTAATCATAAACACGTGTCCAGCTTTCGCGAAGATGATCGGAATGAAGATTATCTCACCTGCGACCACGAGTCTCTTTCGCAGAACAATTTCGGATGCTCTGAAGGCGCGTCGCGAACAGGGCATCGTTAGACCGGATATGCTGCATCTTTTGATGCAGGCTAAAGCAAAGGATTCCGAGACAGAATTGACCGTCGACGATATCATTTCTCAGGCATTCACCTTCTTCTTGGCTGGCTTCGATTCATCTTCTACCATGATGGGTTTCATGGTGTACGAACTGGCATTGAATCCAGATATTCAAGAGAAGCTTCGTAACGAAGTGGATCAGTATTTTGACGAGACTAATGGGGAAATTAATTACGAGACCCTCTCGAAAATGGAGTACATGGATATGGTTGTATCGGAGACTAATAGGAAGCATACTTTCTCGGTCTTTGTTGATCGAGTTTGCACGCAAGAATTCGAATTACCTCCAGCAGAGCCTGGTTACAACAGCGTTACTATTAAGCCCGGTGATTGTGTATGGTTTCCTAATTATGCATTGAATCATGATCCAAAATATTTCCCGGATCCAGAGAAATTCGATCCGGAAAGATTTAACGAAGAGAATAAAGGGAATATTCTTCCTTATACTTATCTTCCATTTGGAGTTGGACCTCGACAGTGTATTGGCAATAGGTTCGCGTTGATGGAGATAAAAATTTTGATGGTTCATTTATTGCGGAAATTTGTAATCAAACCTAACGAAAAGACTCCGATTCCTCTTGTATTTAAAAAGGCTAATTTTGCATCGGTTCCGGTAGATGGATGGTGGTTCAGTTTGGAGAAAAGGAAATTTTAAATTTATTATTCATCGTTGTTTTTCTCTATAAAAATATTTAAATGTCTTCTTTATTTTATTTTTAGTATATCTCGATGATAAATGTGTTCAAAAACAAAGAAATTTAATTTTACTATCTAAGGCATGGCTGTTTGTGCTTCAGTTAGGAAAAATAATTTCTGCTGGCAGATATTTTTTAAATATTTCTTCAAAGTATTATAGTATTGTAACTTTTATAAAGTATTTTGAAATTTATCTACACTTTGAAATTGAAACTGGGTAAAATAGAATGCGAATAAAAAGAATATATCTACAAAGACAGAATTGCGTTTTATTAACCATTGAAAATTAAAATAATTCTATTTCAAACCATTTTTTTATTACAATAACAACTACGCGTAGGAAAAGTTGCTAATTTCTATAATTTAAAATAAAAAATTTGAAATCCATTATTTTGGTGACAAATAAATCCATCACTTATATTATCAAAAATTCTTCTACTTATAAATTCTCCAAGATCAAATTTCTTGGGAACAAAAATGTTATCTAATAAATCTTTACAAATTCAAATCAAAGGAAACACTTCTTCGCTATACAAAATATAATTCAATTGTTTCACAAAAGAGTCTCCAAATAGAATCTCGCAGTGTTTACGAATTCCACATTGATCTCCATCGACGAGCAGTGATTTGCAATTTATTTGCAGGAACACCGACGAAGAACAACGCAGTTTGTTCAAGTGATTTACGTAACGGGCCTTCCACTCCCTCCTTCTCTGTTGCTCGTCCAACGATAAAACCCGTATACGTATTCGTCCATACTTATAACATTCCTCCTAGTTACCGGATAGAGTCCGTTCGTAATCCATCCTCCGCGGCAATGGAGTCGGTGTCGTTTTCTTTTTCACTGAAACTGTTGGTGCTCGCATTTTTAATCATCGGTTTGGCGAAGCTTATTTCCATCGTCTACATCCAGCACACATATTGGAAAAAAAGGAATGCTCCCTATATCAAAGGGATGCCAGTGTTCGGTTCCTCGTGGAGGCTGTTCCTTCGTCGAATATCCTTCCCGGACTGCTGCAAATTCATCTACAATTATTACCCGAATCTTCGATACGTGTGTGTGATGGATTTCTCGACACCTGGTGTGGTGATTCGCGATCCAGTATTGATCAGAGAAATAGCAATCAAGAACTTCGAACACTTCCCTGATCACCAGAGCTTCATCAACGAAAAGATCGATCCAATTTTTGGCAAAAATGTATTCTCCTTAAGAGGCGAACGTTGGAAAGAGATGAGAAGTACCTTGAGCCCATCTTTCACCGCCAGTAAAATGAGATTCATTTTTGAATTGGTCTCCAAGTGTTCTCAAGAATTCGTCAATTATCTCTACAATCATCCGGAGTTTTCTTCATCGATTGAGGCTAAAGATGCATTCACAAGGTACACAAATGACACCATTGCTACCGTTGCTTTTGGGATCAGTGTGAATTCCTTAAGGGACCGCGAGAACGAATTCTACAAGAAAGGAGCCGATGCTACCAACTTCGGTGGTTTGTTCCGATTGATGAAGTTCCTGTTGTTCCGTATGAATCCACGATTGACCAGGATGGCTGGATTCTCGTTCCTTTCCCGTGACACGGCCAGTTTCTTCAAAAGAGTCGTCTTCGAGACGGTGAAGGCACGGGACGAGCAAAATATAGTTCGACCAGATATGATTCACCTTCTGATGGAGGCTAGAGATAAGGAGAAGCTGGTATCCCGTCAGATGACTATCGACGATATCACAGCTCAAGCGTTCATCTTTTTCTTGGCTGGTTTCGATACATCTTCAACATTGATGTGTTACATTGTCCACGAATTGGCGATTAATCCGGATATTCAAGAGAAGCTTCGTCAAGAAATTGATCGCTATATGCAGGAAGGAAATGGAGAAATATCCTATGAAGCTTTGTCCAGAATGAAGTACATGGAAATGGTGACCTCGGAGGCACTTAGGAAGTATCCTCCATTGGTTCTCATTGATAGATTGTGTGCAAGGAAGTTTCAATTACCTCCAGCTGGACCTGGTTATAATAGTGTTACTGTGCATCCTGATAACGTCGTCCTGTTTCCTGTGTACGCGTTGCATCATGATCCAAAATGTTTTCCTGAACCCGAAAAGTTTGATCCTGAACGTTTCAGTGACGAGAACAAGGATAAAATTGATCCTTATACTTATTTGCCTTTTGGACTTGGACCTCGAAAGTGTATTGGCAATCGTTTTGCTTTAATGGAGACTAAGATTTTGATAGCTCATCTTCTGCACAGGTTTTACTTAAAGTGTACTGAAAAGACTAAAATACAGATTGAATTTAGTAAGAAGAATTTTTCCATAACACCAGATGGTGGATTTTGGATTGGTTTAGAAAAAAGGATCGTTTAATTGACTTATCGATGTTTCATTGTCTTTTTGATATCTCGAAAATAATTCTTTTTAATTTAGCTAATTAATGTGTGTGTTGTGTATTTGTAAATGAAGAGAAGAATGGTTTTTGTACGTTGTTTTTGTATTATAAAATGTAAGGAAAATTATTATTTATTTATATTAGAGGTGTTTATAAATAATAATTGTTGAATGTGGAACAAAAAGAACTCTATAACTATGTTTTTTCTACAAAGAAATATAATTTTCTTTCTTCCTGGAATAGGTTTATTATCGTCAATAATTTCTTATGAAAAAGTTGTACTTTGACTTTGTTTCGATATATCTTCATTAACTGTGTGATGTTTGTGTCAAAAGTATGTAACGAGTTCGTGATTCTGTTAATCGGATGATACTATTTTTATTTTCGCTTTATACTTTATTAGTATCAGTATCTTAACGTAATGATAATTAATTATGTAACAATTTATCTGCATTGGGAACTGTATCCTTTTCTTACACTTTGGAACAGGTTTTTCTCGATTATATTATTGATTATATATTGAATGAACTTTAACTGTTATGTATCAATGTTATCTTTAGCTCGGTTAGTGACTTTGATGAAATTATTTTTACATTCGTATAAAAACATTCATACCAAAGTCTAATGATCTTCAGACTACTTTTAAATAGACGGTAATTATCATTGGTTTGTTAGAAAAAAATAGATGTATTATTAAAGTATTATAATAAATATTTTGAAATTCAGGGACACTGATTAGTTTCTTTGGCTAAGAATTTTTATTGGGTCATTTGAAAAATTTCCAGTAAAATTTAGTGATATTTTCAAGGTAAAATCTTCGCATTTAATTTCATGACATAAAACTTCTACACAATTATATTTATGGGGCATCAAATTGAAGCTTGAGATTTAATAAAAATAATTACATAAGTGTTTCATCAGTATTCTTAATACAAAATGGGTGGTACTTGATCGTAAGGAACAATACATAATAATAACAGTAAATTACAAATTGATTGATTATTTATTCTAATCAGGGACCCGCTATTTTGTTCATAATCTTCATTAGACTTTCACCTTTAAATTGATATGACACAAGTACTGTTTTGCATTACTTTTAAATCATGAAATCATTAATGTTATTAGACAATGGCAGCTTACCAGTTATAGCAGACAATGGTCGATTTCGAAACGTATGAGGTCAGACATAATTTCATGACATAAAAGTAGTGCAAAATAGCACTTGTGGCGCATCAATTTAAAGATTGAGATCTGAAGAAAATGACTGCGTGAACATTTGGTCAATATTCCTAACAGAAAACTTGTGTTTTTCTAATTTCTCAATGTAAACACTAAGAACTTTCTGAATCCAGGTCAATGCTGTGTTTTATTTGTAAGGTGGAGTAAGTTTCATTCCTTTTGGTGATATGGAAAATCGTTTGACCTACACAGATAAATTTCTTCTCGGTTAATGTTTACAGTGTCATAGTGAGTAATTCATTACCGTAATAGCGGTAACCTCCAATCAAGTACGTACGATACCAAACCGGTTTATCTAATCGCACAGAGCATTAGATTTGTTTGTTCATGCAAGGTTTAATCGTGTTCCTATCGTGTCAACATTTTTTTCTTCCGTGTCACGTTGTTTTGTTTACCTTGAAAATGTCGTTGCAATTTTTTTTTCATTCTATGCAACTGTCATTTCCAAGGAATTAGTTTGAACAGTTGATATCGATGCGATTAGAAATCTATAAATGTTCGATTTTTCTTATCAATGACTAGATATACTAAAGATACTCTTAATAATATTGACAAAGAAAAAGAAATATTATTATTTTTTTACTCGTTTGTTAATGTCAACGTTAGAAATAGAAACCAAGGAAGTTCAATGACCTGTAAGTATTTTTAGTCGTTTCTCTTAATAGGTGTGGCCTAATCAGTGAATCAATAGTAACTAGAAAATTATCATCAATCTTTATTCCTTTTATCATTTAAGAGCGTATGTTTCAAAGAATACCTGTCATAAATTAATCAAATGGGCATAATAATCCAGAGTTATGAAAGTCGTAATTGAAAAGGAAATAAAATCATTCTTATTTGCAATATCATTAGAATACCAGTACTATTTTTTTTTTTTAACTCCTAATTACCAGAGTTACCGAAGGGGAAGGGTGAGAATCCGGGCATCACCATTTTTCCTGGGGAAGTCTGTTTTGTTCGTGGCTGTACTACAAAAACTTTTCCCTATATAATATTTAAAAAAGAAAGGAACGAAAAATAGCAAGCTCTTTGTTTTCAATTTTAATTTACAATATCCATATATAGAAATAAAAAAACAGGTACATTTAACTTGTTACGCAGGTGGGAATCAGAGGTTTTAGTTTAATGAAAATAAAATAGACACGTTGGCACGCATGAAAAAATAATTTCATGACACGATTTGCAGGGTTGGGGAACTTTAGATTATATAGGACAAGATGGAGGAGCCGGGAGTTTTAATAAGCAGTGGGAGCGGTTTTAGTGGGTGATATCTTGAAATCTAAAATTCATTAAATCGAAACAGCAAGGTTGTGACGGAAATTTGCAAACGGCGATCCTTGAGCTGTTATAAAGAAGAGCAGACATGCGTCGTCATTTGGGAATTGCTCAACTTCTTAATTGCATTGCCGTGCCTCAACTAAGTTATAGAAGAAAGTACCTTTATGAAAGTTTATTAGTTATCCTTGAATAATTGAGTACTTCACCTGCACTTTCTTTACTGACCCAAAGATTTCATTTTTTCTAATACTCTAAAAATGTTTGAAGGTTCAGTCGTTCTCAGACATATTTTATGTACAAATTAAAATTAAAATTAAAAATCCAAAGCATGGGACAGTGAATAATAAAAAGAAAGCGAATGGAAATAAATTAATGAAAGATTGTATATGGATCGAGTGTAGGAAGAAAAGCGAAATCCTGTCTTTCCCCCCGTTTCAAGGCGTCGATCGAAACTTCTCTAGAACTTAAATCGAGATCGAGGAAGTTTTGAAATTAATTCTTATTGAGCTTTGAACCGACTCGTCGAACACGACACGATTTCTTCACGGCCCTCAACTTGTGTAATAACCTTTCGCTGGAAAACTTTTCGTCACGGAGCATCTAATAAATATTAAATTCGAACCGTTCGTCGTCGAGCATAACGATTTCGATACAATATCGTGTCCTCTTGCATTTATATCATATAATGATGCAATATTTCATTAATGAAATTCAGAAATTCATTATAGAAATTTTGAAGGTTGCATATGAAAAAAAGATGATGAATTTAATTATAAAAGTGATTGTAACAAGTATTTTAATTTTTTCAAGACTACGATTGATTAGATATGGACCGCACGAATACCTTTTCTGATTTTTCAGGAAATATACTTCTTTTCTCTTTGTTTCAGTGGATCTACTTCAAATGTTGGAGTTCAACTTAACGGTAACGTTTCCTGCTGCATCTTTGCTCACGGTGATTCTCGCACTTGTTGGTAAGTCGTATAAGTTTTATTTTACCTAAGAAACCTAATAAATTAAATTTACTAGCGTTTTTATGAATGTCCATTTGTTTTTTATCGATGTGCAATGAAACTGCAATTGATACAAATTATCACATTACATAAAAATGAATTAGAGCCTAATAATATGAAGTACCATTTATCAAAGTTACAAATATGTGATAGCGACTATCAAAGTGCTAAAATTAAAAAAAAAAAAAATGTAAGTTACTGCAATGTGGTACATATATTATTTAAGGAACAGAATCGATGAAAAGTAAAAGGTATAAACGTTGAGTTCGGTTAGCAATGGTGTTTGAAAGTCGAGCACGTGTCAGGGTAGCGAAGTTGCAAAATATTAAAGGCTTTTTACTAAATCAGAGCCTCTCTCGGTTTCGTTCCCCCGCTGATACGATGTTAGCTCAGTTACAAAGCTGATTGGCCGGGACGGTTAACCCAGGATTCTGCATAAATTTCTGATGAAGGCGCAACAGTTGGGTAACCCGCTCGGAGCCCATTTAGTAACGGTGGCGGCGTCGGTGGTTTCCCTACCACCGCGACGCCCATTTCCATTTCAACCTGAATCTCCTCTTCACGCTTCGCATGTCCGTCAGCGCCATCCAATTGACCTGTGTGAAGTGTGATATCGCTAATCCTTTTGGAATTTTGTCCAACGATATTTAAAATCATTCATCAATCAATTTTTTAAATTAACAGAGTACTCAGGACCGGGCTAAAATTTCCTAGGCCCGGCGCTATTAAACCTCTGACCGGCCTCTTAATAAATGGAAGAATGTAGTCTCTTTGAATTACTATACAAAATGTAATAATAAAAAAGGAATGACTACTTTCTCTTAGAATTTCGTTTCGCTAGGAAATTGGAGACCATGCCTCGGGCGTTAGAATTTAAATTAGTCTCGTCAAACGGTCGATATCAATCGGTGAATTGCTCTTTCAATATTCACGAAATCGAGGCTGAAGTGTATAGGAGGATGGTCAATTTTCTTGAGAAACGATCGAGGTTTATAGCGTCTTGCAGGGCCACCAGTTGCACGGTATTCGAGGAAAATGGCAACAGGAGTGGTAAATTTCCGGATTCGTGCTCGTGAGGATCGCGGCCGCACACGTGTGGGTTATATTGGGTTTACCGGTGGATGTAGAAGAAGGAAAGGAAGCCTTAGGGAAGTTGTTATCTGGAGTAATGGGTTCCGGTTCCTGTGTCGCTTCCTGCCCTTCATCCGTCATCCTGCAGTTCTCTCTGGCGAGTACTTTCACGATTTCTCTGCCCTCGCCTCCTAGTCCTCTGTTCCCCTGCTATCCACCCACCATATTTTCCGCTCCTTTCTTCTCCGCTTTTCGCGAGAACGCTATCACGTTTCCTGCGACGATAAATACTGGAAAAAAGCCTGTTCCATTGATATACGTAAGACGAAATTATCATTTTACCATGCCCGTTATTCCTATTGGAGCTTTTTGCAAGAATGCATTTGAAGGATTATAATATCTGTACCAGAGAAATGATAAGATCGCTTAAAAAAAAAAATTGTTTCATCCATTTTTCTTCGTGATCGTTGATGGGGCAGTTACCATTTTACATTTTTTGGTACCCTTTGTTGCGTCCACGATTTTATCGGGATACACTGTATCATCGGCCTGAGTTCACGTGAAATCGAGCACGCGTCGTACGGCATTTGGCGTCGGGAAACAACCAGGAAGACGATTTTGCATAATGGAACGTCAAAGAACGGAATCACTGGCGCCCCGGCGCATCAGTGACGCATGATCGACCGCCTAACATGCTGTAAACACATTTTCAGGGACGGTCAGAACATGTTGAACTCGCTGCTGTTTCGTTTATCTGCTTACGACCCCGTCGAAACAACTTCGCTTCTATCCGTATCAGGGCGTAATCATCTAGCCAGACGTTTTTAACACGTTCCATCAAGAAATTTAAAGTTTATGATAAATATGTAAAGATAGACAGTTCAGGGAGGTCTGAATCCCCTTTCGTTTCCAACGACTTAATTTGAGAATAATCAGCAAATTACTGATAATTGCAATTATATTGTGCAGTCCATTTGTCTATGCGAAGCTGTTTGTTTCATCGTCGTATTTTGACATTTACGATTCACCGAGGCATCTACTATGCAAATTATATAGCAGTCAGATTACGATCAAAGGGGGTAGGAAGAGAGAAAATCGGTGTACTAGCATGTTTGCTTTACCTGGAACATATGCAGATACATTGTACACGTGTTTCAAGGTATGCGAACACGAGCTGATCAATGACGTTCTCTATGTTGATTCAGCTATCTAACCCTAACAACTTGCTTTGCAACTATTGCTCAACTCCCAGATTCCATGGAGCATTTCCGCCGGATTCGGATAGATGAGATGCCACCTAGTTACACGTATAGACGGCAAATCTGCTTTCATAAGCTCGCGCTAGCTGCGCCTCGTGTTCCATGATATTATTAAACTATCAGTCACGAATGCAACAAATTTCAGCCAACGTCAAAGTGGCAGGCGTACACTCGGTTAGAAAATTTCACCGCAGGATATTCGTCTGTAATAAAAATTTTTTATCAATCATCACTTTCGATTATTTCTTTTATAAATTAAAAGAACGGAAAAGAGTCAAGTTGTTTAAATGAAAAAATGAAGGATAGAATTTCAAAATGAAATTAGAAATTCTATATTTATTAGAAGTTAAAGCCAGCCAATGTAATAACCCGATGGTTCTGATGTAATTCTGTATGAAAGGTGGAACGATACTTCGATAAAGTTTCGAATCTCGAAGTTTGTCGACATCGATGTTCATGCATGATCGATCAGCATCGTTGTTCCATGCGCGTAGGTGCGAGAGCGTGTAAAATGGATGTTTCGCGCGTACATACACACGCGTGTCACACATGCCACCGACTGTACACCTATCTTGTCAATCACGACTACGAATTAGTTTTGATTCAGGAGATCGTCGTGAATCCAACGCGGCGGAAATTATAATTATACCGTGGTTACAGGCTCCGTTAAATGTGTAATTCAACGGTGAAGTAACGCTATTTTCTTATCGTTTGATAATTGAATAGTTGCGCTATCAATCGTGCGCCTTTTATTTCGAATTTAATTATTATTAATTGTTTTATATTCAATCGCTATCTCCTTTTTTCAAACTTGAGTATGTTGATAAATGCGGTGTACTTGATTCTCGGACGACGGACCATGGAGAGAGCCACAATTTTAATGTAATTTGATAGACGATATATCGACCGACTCGACATTTCTTAAATCTTATCGCAAAATTGATATCTTGGAATCATTCGAATCATGATTATCGTGTTCGTAGTTCAATGACCTACCTGCGTAGATTATTACAGTCTTTTCTAAGGAGTCAATGAACTTCATCTAGGTTAATAGAATTTTGCCTGAGGAGTTTACGGTTAACGTCATTCTTCTTGGAAGAAGGCTGTGTTATTTATTTTAGAAATTTCATGTTCTCGAGAAGGATATAATTAAACTTGGATGCAAATTCAGGTACAATTTCATTCAGAAATAAAAAAAAAACGAAGCAGGTACGTTTTCTAACTATAATGAAACAAAGTTAAATTTGATATAGCGTGTTTGAAATTAGTATTGTATCACACAAATTATTAAAATCTGATCACCTCGACTATAATATTTATTTTTAAAATTTCAAGATTGATCGGGTTGTTGTTTCGAGTCGAAAAGAATTAATTCGCGTTGTATGTTAATCTACAGATAATTGAATTTTGCGATCAAACGAATGATTAATCAACGCGTTATCATTTGTCTTATGGCAAAATTAATCGAGCCACTTCAGGAAATTGATCTACGAAGACGCATTTTACGCTATCGCTCGAAAATACTACGCTTTATTCGATTTTCAGACGGTTTCGAGCGGTTTTACTTGAAACTGTCTAGTACATCCTTGATCGAGCAGAACACATATGCACATTGATATTTATATGCTCGCAAATGGATCGGGTTTACGGTCGCATTTATAGCCGTCGAGATGGAAGCAAGAAAAACAACTTTACACGCGATACTTCCTTTTAATTTTCTTACAATTTACTTTATTTTATGTTTTTGCAAAGATAACGCGAAACCGTTTCGAATTCGCCCTCTCCAAATGGGAATATTCCTTTCTTTTAATTTAACGATCCAATTTTTCAGTTTAAACTTTTCATGTGTTATTTTATCTACGAGAATACCATGAAAGGTTAAAATTATAACACGAAACAGTAGTGTAATTTTAATTACATTTTCGTACCGGTCTGTCCCCGTGTAAAGGACGAGAAAAGTAAGAGGAGGGTAAAGCGTTCGGGTTCGCAATTATAGCGAAACATATAACGGATCTTCCGTTAACAATTTCCAGCTATCCCCCGAAACAGCGAGAAATTTTTCTCAAGTAACGAGGATCCTCTTGATCGGCTTTTTTCTCTTTTTATTATTTTTTTCTTCTTCGCGGCGGAAAAATGCTGGCGACATAAATTGGAACGTTCCCCGTGCAATTTCAGCGTCGCGCGAGATTATCGAGCGAGCGTTCGTCGTAGTTGCTCGAGGAATTTTAACGTCTTTATAAAAGTCAAGAGGAAGAGGAGAATGTCGAAGCCGTAGTTCTACTGGTGCTGCTGTTGCCTGCCGCCGCTGTGCTGCACACTCGGCTAGAGTCTGCGCAACCGGCTTACCAAGCTGAGGTAATGTCCGGCTAGTATGCATTTAAACGAGTGCATTATCCGTACATTATCCGGCGTTAAGATCATTTTGGCTTAGGCCCGTATGTAACTGATTCATGCGTCTCGATGTTGTTACCCAAATAACGATATTTGCGACACTGATCCTCTTTATGTTAGGACGGGATCGTGTTCAATATGTAGTTACCAATTCGAGTCAATTCCAATAGGAAAGTTTCATTTCATGGAGTTCAAATAGAGTGGGATTCGCTTGTTATGTTATCATAATCAGTGATCTAAAAAAATATAATAAATTAAGGATGAAGATTTCTGGGACTCAAAAATTAAAATTTATTCTAATTAAAATTAAATGACATTTAAGAGATTTCAGTCAATATTTTTTGAGATAGTAAATGGAAGGAATAGACGGGGATCCCTGGAAAGTGGGAAGATATAAAAAATAATAAGATATCATTGAATCTTCTCATAATTTATACATAGATTGGTATATTTTTGGAACATTTAAATAGAACATTATTATGAAGTTATTTTTTAATTTTTCTAATAGCCAATTTTTTTAATGTGAATTTTTCTAATATGAAGTTTTCGAACAGCCAATTTTCTAATAGCCGAGTTCAATATACTAATTACGAATTTGACTCAGTTTCAATAAAAAAGAGTTTCACTTCATAAAATTCGAATATTACTCATAAGAGGTGACATTTCATTCTCTAACGAGTCTTATATCTATTATGCTATTTTTCTAACGATTTCCAAGGCAATTATTTAGATTACTTTTACTCGTCGCGTTAACTAGTCTGTCGACGAATAATTCTTCACTCCGTCGTTATTTCTACCCTAGCGAGAAGTGTCACACGTTGCCACCTCGTCGGTTTGTACATTCAGGGTGTTAACTATTAGCAGGATACTCATTAGCATTCTCTTCGCGTTGTTTTCGTCTTGTTTTGTTGTACCGTGTCTGATCAAGAAACTAATTATCCGAGGTCGGCCCTCTTGCTTTAGAAACCATTCATCCTTTTCCTTGTGAAGTGCCTTCATCCATTGGCGTACCTTTTCTTTTATATATACCTTTTTCTTCAATATACCGATGTCTTCTCTTCTTTGTTTAATATTTCGGAAAGCAATTTCGAGTTCCTTTTCTTCGTGCTCATCAGCACAGAGGAAAAGATAATTATGAGATGGTAATGGTTTCCTTTTGATCCTCTACGCATTATATTAGGGTTCGTATCATAAACTTTAAAAACAATTGCCTTTGTCAAATTTTGAAGAAAATTCCTCGAAATATCTTTACCGAAATGAAAATTAATTAAGGGGAGCTGAGATCAGATTAGAAATTTTTTATGTTTATTACTCTTATCACCTTTCTATATTCCATGTTTGGGGATTGATAAAATATGAAGCATTGTCAGCTGGTTAAATATTTGCTCAAAATGCTCGTCGTATAAACTTGTACACATAGCATATACGACTAATTCGGTTTGTATTAGTGTTAGCTCTAGTAAACGATGCATTCTAATGAACAATAATATCGTAATTTATCCATAGAAGTGGAGTTAATTATTACATTTATGTACATTATCTAGTAATTATGCGAAGGAACGATACACGTTGAGAATTTACAATCCAGTAGAGAATTAAAAATGGTATAAAAATGGTTGTGTTCATTTTTGATAAAACATCAGAAGCCACGAACCAGATGTTATTATTAATAATTTACAATCTTCTTTTTTAACTGCAATTAGAATTGTATTAGGTACTTAAAATTATGGTCAATGAAAATAATTAAAAATAAAAATATTACTTAATAAAATTGTCATCCTCAGTATATCTGATAAGTGTAATCAGTGGTTGTGTGAGTTTGATTATAGTCATCGTATTGCCTTAGTGGCTTCGAAAATTCGACAGAATGCTAATTGACCTTATCGTTTTTCTTCGCGAGCTAATCGAGAAAATACAGTGTCGATTCTTCGCTAGAAAACTTTCAACGTTGTCATTAATCACCCCGGAGCGTCGTATTTCTGCTTGGTCGTTTTGCACTTTCGTGACCTGGCCACGACACACCCTAGGATACTTTTATTATTTCCGCTCGGCCCCAGGGGGTTTTCATATCGTTACAATTCATTAGGAAACACGCTAGCTGTATAACATTGTTCTATACTTTCCTCGAAACGCATTAGCTTTGTTTTCTATGAACAGGATCCAACCAGTAACTTGCTACCTTGCTTGCATTATTTTAGAGATCGTTTAAGAAATCATGTTTAACAGCCATTGTCACTTGTTGGTAATTCTTTTATTATTTTTCATCTTACAATTAGTTTCTGTTAATTTTGAGAAGGTGTTTGGTCACATTTCAAATTTCACCCTTTGAAGATTAATTTTTAACATTCATGTTATTTGCTACTTCTATAATTTTTTTTTGTAGGTTTTTCTAAAATTAGAAAATTAGAAGACTAAAATTCTAAAATTAGAAAATTAGGAAATTAGAAAACTAAAATTCTAAAACTCAAAAATTAGAAAATTAGAATACTAAAATTCTAAAACTCTAAAATTAGAAAATTAGAAGACTAAAATTCTAACGATCTAAAATCCTAAAATTCCTTAATAATACAAAAATAATTTGGGGGGTGAAGAAAGTATTATGATACATATTTGTATCATTAGAGATTAGCGTCCATCCACATACGTACCAGGAGTTTTCAAAGGGTTAAATATCAGTCGAAACAGAGGTGTGAAATTTTCAGTGGGACGTGGCAAATTGTTAGGAAACTTAAAGGAAGCATATTTTCGAGTTATGCCGTTCGTTGGCCGCTATGTAAATTTTCGTTCACGGCTAGTTTGACGGAAAGTCGTTTCAGACGAAATAACTTGGGCGATGTTTCACCCTATAAGTGAGATTTAACGTTCAACGCCTGCGAAACAATAAAAACGACTGGTGGAACGTACCGAACGTATCGTTTTAACGGTATAATGGCCCATGGGGGTTGGTATTAAATTTACATGGGGCGAGTCTTGTACGCTGCACCACGAACTTTTAATTGTGCGGAAACTATTCGATTAATAGGACGAGCCGGTGGGTTTGATAGCAGACGATTGCCGGTATCGATTCACTCAGTTGTTTCGCTATTTTTAAACCTCCGATGCTTACTGCCAATTCCGTGAATTAATAACGTAACCTTGTTTATTCTGTCTTTCGACAAAAGAAATGTTTTCTTCTTTCTTTCGCCAACCTTTTCCCCGTGTGAATTTCATTTTCAAACTGAGCTGCTTTTTAATTAACGACAATGTGTACCAGCTTTTCTCGGAGAACAGAAAGAAACGTATTTTTGTGCTGAAAACATTAGCTTTAGAATAATTATTAACATATTATTCTTGTCTTATTATTATAATATATATAAATTCAAATATTTTTTGAAAATTCTCAGCATTCATTTTTAGAGATTATCAAGATTGTGAATAAAAAGTATATAAAATTATTAGAAATTGTATGCAAAATTATTTTTTGTTACAGGTATGGAGGCGATTATGTCAGAATTTTTCAACGATACTACAACTGCCTTTTATATCATACTTACCGTCTGGATTGCTGATCAGTACGATGCTATTTGCTGTCACACACCTGTCACAAAGAGACACTGGCTTCGGTGAGTGATATGAAATCTACTTTTTAAATATTTTACAGCTTCCTTTTTAATATTCTGTGCTCCATTATGAATTTTCCGTTTGGAAGATAAAGCTACCACCGCAGTCCATAAATTAATCAAAATTTGAAATTTTAATAATTTTAGAAATTGCATATAGTACTGTTTAAGTGTTATTACCCCTAGCGATAACAAGTTCGTTCGAAGAGAAATCGTTAATTTTTTAGAGAAATGTACTTTTTAGATTGTCATAAGGATGATCGAAGGAGCATTTAATTAAAAAGGATTACGCTGTATTAAGTAACGAGTTGATCGTGGTCCTAGCCACCTCGTCTTTTCTCTTTATTCCGGTCCTTGCAATTCCGGCTAAAACTGAAGCGATCAAAGTATCTGCTTCACCACTAAATATCCTTTGTTGGGTGACGATGAAACGTCTTGTCTGTCTTGTAGCAACTTCGCGAAAGAATCAACGAGAGCTTAGTATCCAATGAATTAAAAACTGAAGACTGATTGTTTTGGAACGATGAACGATGATTCTTTATCCACCGGTATTTTGAAAATATTTATTTGAATCAAGTTTTTAAAAATATTTCATTTAATTATCTTAAAATATTTAAGTTCTTATATTATGAAATTTTCGAAGACTCGTTGTAGAATTTAATGAATTCATTTAACTTAATTATCGTCTCACGATCGGTATATAATTGCCAGCACGAGGACTTAATTCGATCCGATCAGTCTAAATTCTAGGAATGTCCCTCGGCCATTTGCCCATTGGACAGTTGTGCACAGATGTCAAAGACAGGATCAGAATGAATCCCTAGCGTAATAGAAATTGAGTTTTACGCTCGATATGGCTTACGAGGCCGAGTTACGTTGTAATTTCCTTAGACTCACAAAGGTATAGACCGAGACATTAGGCGACGATTAAACAAAATTGTCGCCGGTGATGGTCCCTTCTTGTCGCTTTGCATGTTTGAACAGTTCAGTGACGCGCGATCGAACGGACGGCGATATTGTTCGCAGCCAAAGCACGCAACTTAAAGCGGAACACTTTAAATTATCCTAAAACTTTATATTAAATTATTACAAGTTATATATTGCAATCATATTTAAATTCTTAATTACAATTGTTACAATGAAACTTAATGTATCCTTCCATGATCCACCACATACAGGACGTACACATACACATAAGCAAAAGGGTTAAATACTCAACACATAAATGAAATTTGTTTTCTTTAAAAGATAGAATTTTTTTCATTCTTTCATGTCCTGGCGATAGATTTACAATTATTGTCTCATAAACGTTAATGAAATGGTTTTTGTATTTTAAGTAGTACGAGTCAATAATATGTCAGACATGACATTATTTTTGATTATATCTACTTGGATATTAATTTGACAACATAATACGAAGTAATTAGAGTATAATGCACGAATAATATATCTTTCGTAATAATTTTAATGACATTATAAACTGTGCTTGACACCTCCATCTTACTTATCCTCTGTTATGAATTCGTGACTATGATTGATAAGAATCAAGGTGGGTGATAATGATGTTGTTCGCGTGTTTTGTTTAGTTTAAATTAATTTCATTTATCATTAAAATGACAACAATTTAAATTTAATTTATTATAGACGCTTTCTCATTTCCTTAAGACATTATTATTTATAGGTTTAACTTCTTATTTCTGAAAAATTAAATTGTCGATGCTTGATAATAATTTACTTGGTTTTAGTATTACGTTGATCTATTGATACCGAAACGAGGAAAGATCATAGATCGACATGGCTTTGCTTCTGCTAGAACACGGTCGTAAGGACAGTTAAGTTTCCTGTAGGTTAGTTCGAGGTTAGACAGGAAGCATTAGAACAACCGGTGTTGGGCGACAATTAAACAGATCTGACGCTGGTAATATCCCTGCAGTATCGCCTCCAAGTATCTGAATTACGCGTTCCATTGTATCGAATCTGTGTCGTCGACCGCGGCGTTTACACTAGATCGACTTTAATCACAGGAACAGGATACATTCGATAAACGGTTAATCGAGAGCTCCCTTTGCCCCGTAGAAATTAGTTTCTTCAAATTGAAGGAAAACTACTTCGTCTGACCTCCTTTTCGTGCTTGAGCTGTTTCAAGTCCGTACTTGGATCGGTTTTCGTCACGTAAAGGAAATGGATTTAACGAACGGTAATGGCCCCTTTCTGCTGAAATTAGCTTTTTAAAATCAAACCTGTATCAAGTCTGCTTTTAAATTCTTCAAAAAATTTAATCCCTCAGTTTCCAGTTCAAATTGACTTCATTGAAATCAATTTTTGTATGGGACAGATTGAAAATTTATAATTATAAAAATACGTTTTATTTTTCTAGATAATTATTATTGAATTACAGAATGTTAATTAGAAATTCTTGTATTTATCTAAAATACTTTTTATTTGAAGATCTTCCATGTTAAACATAATTTACTGCTCTATGAATTTCGATTCTTGGTATTTTGTTTTCACTGACTTTGGATCAGAGATGGTATGCAACTAACATCTAACACCGTCGATTGACTGTTTCTACGGATCATCCGGTTTTAATTAGAAACTCGACTTCCGCTTACACACGGTTTAGCCGATATTTCGTGTTCAATCGTCGTTCCTGTTCTACTGTCATTCGTGATCCAAAGCCTTTAGCGAGAAGCACGCATAGAAATTAAGATAATGGTCAATTGTAATTATAATTATTATCAGAAATGGAGAAATTTTATTTCCCAAATATTTATAAAATTTAGATTTGACTGGATTTGTAAAAAATTCCACATATTCAGAATTTTGTTTTTAAGTCAAAATGGTTTAAATATCTTTGGAAGTAGTGAAATCAGTGATAAATTAAACAAGATGATTATTAATAAATATATTAAAGGATTCTTAAAGTTAAAATGTCAATCAGAATAGAATAATTTAAAGTCTTTACGTTTCACTTATCTTCTAAAATTTATTGATCTTTTAATTAATTATTCAATCATTTTAACAGTACAGTCAATGCATTCAAGTGTCGCGTGAAATTCTTGCGATTCAAATTCTCAATGCGTGATTTTCGTAGGAATGAGAACGAAACTTTGAAGTAAAATCAAGACAGTGCACAATAGGTTACGTTCCTCTTCGTTCGCGAACAGGAAATCGTATGCAATATAGAGGAATAGACATTGCCAGAAGGGAAAAGCTACTGAAAGTTCAACGATCGTCACGCCTGATATCCGTTCTATGCGAAGTTAGGTGTTTTCACGTGTTGTTCAGTACTCTTTTCACATATTCTGAAACGTAGACTCGAGATAGCTCGACCAGGATCTTCTCTCTTGTTTCTTTATTCTCAATTTTCGCACACGAGAAACCTTACAACTGTTTGATCGAAATAGAACGAATAATTTTTCCTTAACTTTTCAGAGATTTATCGCAGATTTTTTCATTCTTACAATATGTTTGTATAAATCTACAGAATTCAAAATCTACTTTTGTGTATTTTAGGGCGCATTAACTTCTTTTTTATAATATTCTAAATTTCAAATATCCAAACAACACTAGGTAATTATTCTAAGATAAAATATTTTTTAAATTAGACGAGTATCTAAAAATTTTTCATTCTTCTAAGTTTAAGACTTTATAAAAAACTTTTTATTAAAATTATGTTGAAAGTAAGTCGTCAGATGGTACCTATTTTAACAAATAAAATATTTATCTCAATTTAAAATATAAATAAAAGCAATGAACATCTGATACAAGTTACATGATCGATTTATTGTTGCATAAAGCTTGGCTAAGCTGAACAGGTGATACACGTTAGCCTGTCGTCATAAGAAGTAATCTGCAATACGCTTTTATTTCTTTTAAAGAGCCGAGGATAAACGCAATCAAGCAATTGGTTTCGCAGGCAGGCACGGCCGGTTAAAACCTCAACCCCGTGGTAAGAGTTTCATCCATTTGTTCAACGATTTAAAAGGGTCGCTACTCGTACCCTAGTAAATGTGTACGTTCGTGTGTGTGCGCGTATGTTGCCGAAAACAATTAGAAAAGTGCTTTGTCGAAGCATTCCGGGGAGTGTTGCAGAGTAATATCGATTCGACGTTTGATTCCTCAAAGCTAGACGAAAAGAAGTGTTTGGAATTTTCATGATCCGTTAAATCAACGACTCATTATAATTATTTTATTTTATGATTAAGGATAATTCATGAATTATCACAACTAAACAGTATCGATAATTAGTAATTTTTGGAAATGAAAGTGATTAATTTTTTTTATCCCAATATTAACAGATCTTATAGAGTAATATAATTAGCCAAAAATTTAGCCCAAATATGGTTCAAATCATTATAAAAAAAAACAGAAAATGAATAGTGATTACACTATAAGACTGTTAAAAGAAGAATTTAAAAAACTGGAAAAATACTGATTAAAATTAATACGGTGTTTCATAAACGATTGTCTTGTAATTTTTTTTTTCGTACATCCACTTTATCTTGTGGTATTTTTTATTTTTATTTACATATTTTTCGCGAGCGAGGATTTGCTCGTGGTAGTTTCGTGGTAAATAATTTGAGAGAGGGTCGAGTATAAATTTGACATAATTAAGAACGAACGTATTTTTAATTTAACTCGGCTGAAATATTTCATTCTTTCCGCGGGTCTTAGCGCACTCTCTGCCCGTTCTGTATTATCTTTCGCCGGGGTGAATTTCTTAATCATTTTTCTCGCTTGTTTTCACGCGCCCACGCTTTCGTTTTATTTTTTTTTTTTCACTTTGTTTTTCACGGTTATGAAACGAGGTACAGCAATGAAAAATCATTGTGCCACGAATGTTACGTTTTCTCTGATAAGGTTAAAATTTTGGCATGATTGGAACATTTAAATTATGTTCAAGAAAATTAAGAAGATTTTGGTTAAATTATCTACCTATTCATTAGCGAAAAAATAGAAACATTTTCATTAAAAATATTTAAATTGTATGATCTGAAAAA